TGGTTAAAATAGAAAGTCTTTTTTGTGAGACTGATTCCTGGTTTGGCAATTACCTGAATGTCGACCTCACTCTTTGCCTCTATTTCTTGCTAGTCTGCCCTATAAATTAAAGCCTAAGAGTCAAAAATGCTAAATCCACTCACTGAGCTGCAGAGGCTGCACTAGCAATGGGTAATGAACATGCTGGGGTTTATTGAGGATTTAGATCAGAGAGAGCCCTTTGAGGTTTAAACAATGAGAAAATGAACCAAAATACCAAAGTATAACATAAATTAATAGGACGTCATGTTTTTGTAATTAACAATAAATCAGCATTAGAATTGTTAACAGCAAAAGTTAGATTTGATTTTTATTTGTTTACCTCATATCTAGGGACACAGATGGGGCAAGTTTATGAAATAGAAAATCTAAATCTTACTCACAAATCTTTTAAGAGCTTTGGGGTACCATACTGAGCCTTCATCCCTGAACATCTTGGAAGTTTGTCTTAACAAAATATGTCTTTTCATAGTTCATATGCATCTACAATTTGATGTTCTTTTGGGTTATATCCATAAATATAGCAGAAAAAGATACCCATGGCAATGCCTGCTCCACCATAATTAGCTCTCAAATAAATGGTTACTACAACAACAGCAGCTCATGAGTGCAAAGGTCACTCCTCCTTCTCCGCCCCCCCGCTGTGCCAGGCCAGCTCCGTCTCTCTGAGCTCAGGGCAATCGGCTTTCAGCTCCTAAACTCTGTGTGGTCACTGCATACTTTAACAGGCTCGGTTATTTCCCAGGGCAAACATGGGATGCGCTGGATAAGCCGGAGGTTAGGTATGCAGCATTAAGGAGAGGCGGGGTAAACCTGGAGTATGTTTTAATGACACTGACAGCAGCAGGTACCTACACATCTTAACAATGTCCAGCTTCACTTTTCAACGATAAAGGATCTTGCATAACTCTATAATCAGAGGGAGAATTATCACCTTCTCAATACTGTAGCCCACACTCTGTAATTAATACACTGAGAAAGAGCTCTTAAATGTGGCAGATTTCCCTGTGAGTCACTGGACTCAGGTGGAGATGTTTTAAATATTAGCTGGCAGCTCGTTGGGTTTAGAGAATGATTGATCATATGAGCCAGTGGAGATTTTAATGACAATCTGAAATATTAATTGATTATTAAACAAAAGTCTGAAGTCTTAAATCTTAGAGAACAGCTTTATGTCCAATAAAACATTTGTCCTGGTTCTGTTTTGAATTTACACTCAGGAGTTCATCAAAGTTTCATCTGAATGGAATATGGAATAGAGATATTATTCAGCTGTGCTCATGCTAGCTAGATGACTTGTTTTACTCACACCTCACCTGCACTATAAATATGTGGGACATTATAAGGACTCTGAGCATCCACTAAAATTCCTATTCACTGGTCAGTATAAAGTAAGAAAAAAAAAAACGTTAACATTACTCTGAAATACTTAAATATTTCCTGTAGCTAGTGAAGGTCTTAAAGTACTGAGGACACCACTTTGTAAGTTCTGACGTCAGCTCATATCACTGAGAGGAGAACAAACCTGTACAAACTGGTAATGTTCACCTGTGTGACAGTGGTTGTCACATTACTTGGGCTTAGACGTGTACATCACACATGGATATCACCATGGCAACCGCGCAGTAGCATCCCCAGATCCCCAGCATCAGCGTCATGTCTTCCTGCTGTGCTCGTCTCTTCCTCACCATTGTTCTTTCTTGTTCTCCACCCTGACTTCTCACTCCACATAACCAAACTCTGTGGCCAGTCTAACATCTTGTGTTGTTTATCTCTGATTGCTGGTCAATGTTTAAGGATTAATACACATTTGGATCTCTGGACAACAGGCAACAGCTTTATGTTCCAGTGTTGTTTCTGCTGCCGGGTGCCTTTCCTCGCTACATAATGTTAAGTGGATCAACTAGAATCAGCAAAGATCCTGGCTAAGCTAATGTTAGCTGGCCTGCCCACTCACTCGGTCAGGCAGTTGTTCCAACTGTTGCTGTCTCCAGGGACATGACAGATGACTGTTTAGGCATCACCACAGCAACCAAATGTTCTATTTATAGTCAATAATAAAGTTAGAAACCCATTGTCATGTGTCTGGAGGCATGTTTACACAAGTGAGTAATGAACTGTGCTCCCCCGCAGCTCAGAAAAGACATGTCTGTTATGACTGGATTATGACCTGTCTTATCATCAGAAAACAGAAAATCTGTGCAGGTTAAAGTACTGATAAATGTTATTTCTCAAAAAAGGAAACATGATCTAAATGAATGGCTTCGTAGAGGTGATTTGGAATATGCTGTGAATTAACTTTGAATGGGATATTACAACTACTGCACACACTAATACTACTAAATATCATATACTGTAATACCTTTGACGTGACTTCTATAGGTTTCCTTCTTTGTCTAATTCCTGAATCACTGCATTGACTTTGAGTGGTATTTGCATTTGTATTATTTATCAATACTTCATTTGTATACAGTGTATTGAACGCTCCCTTCCTCTGTGTGCTCTCTCCCATTTGTATACAATATATTGAACCTTTCTTTCTTCTGTGTGATCTCTCTCATTGCAGTTGACCTATCAGGCTTTGTGGACGATATCGGGAGAAGCTCATTTTGAAGATGCCTGTGGCCACTTCCAGCTCCGACTCTGGTAAGTGCACTCCATCCGGCTCTGCTCCGTCTGTGAGGGGGGAGGAGAGGGAACAGAGTAAAGACGAGGGGACTGGAGAGGAGAGGCAGAGGAGTAGGAGAGATAGGATGAGGAGATTGAGGAGGCATAAGAGGATGGGAAGAGAATGGGAGGAGAGACAGAGGGGAAGAGGGGGAAGAAATCGCAAGAGGAGGAAAGGAGGGAGGAGAGGCAGCTGTAGAGGCACAAGGAGGAACAGAAGGACGATGAAAAGAGGAGAAAAAGAATCAGGAGGAGGAGCAGCAAAATGCTGCGTGCTCGTCACAGTCGTGTATCTCATCTGCCCAGTTCTAATGTGACTTAATGAGCCGCTAATGGAGCGCTTAAACTCCTGCACTAGATCAGTCACGGCCCAAAGGGTCGACTCAAACCATTGCCGCCCGCATCTACATTGGTGCTACCAAATGAACGGGGACGTCACCAAAGGAGAGACAAACTAGTGAGGACTTGATCAAGCTCATCACAGAGCTGGGATTAAATATGGGACTTAAAGAGATTATGTAAAATAATATATTTGATTTATGAAATAACAATGTTCTCATAATAGAATTTGCTAAACCCAGTGACGGCAATTAACCTTTTATGACCCCACACAACCTTTTAGAACCCTCTGACAGACTATTGCTGCTCCACATCCCAGTGCCAAATTTTACTACATATTTTCAAATCGATTCGATTTTTAATGTAAAAAAACAACCTTTCTGCATGAAAGTAGACACAACTCACAATGGAGGAATAGTCTGCAATTTGATAAAAATTGCTAGACCTCCCTTTTGCCATCCCTTACTTTTATTGTGATGTGTTGCTGTTATGTCATCAAATCAAACATATGCCACATGTACTTAGGAGCTTTGTAATGGTACCTAAAAGATGGACAAGTATTTTTGCCAACAAACTGTGACAAAAGGCATATGTCTGTATTTGTTATACAATGTTTATTCATTAGCTGTGAAGTTAATTAGTTGTGCTGTTGTAAACCATGAGATGCTTTAAAAATGTCTCAGTTGGTTGAACATTGGTAAAATGTTGAAAAAATTGTTATCTGTTCTGGTTTGTTGCAGCAGTGAGCTTGAGGAGAGAGGGAACAGTTGCGTGGAGAGCCTGTGGTAATGGGCCTTGAGTCAGTCCTGATTTGTACACTTAAGCTGAGGGCTGCAGGCTCAGTGAATGGCATCTGGACTAACACACAGTAAACGGCTCTGTCTACAGTGCAGCTGTGTTAAAGACAGCTTTTTGACCAAGGCTATTATTGCTTCAGTTTAGAAAAGGTCCTAAAATATCAACATTCTTTGGAGTCATTTGTCAGAGCATGTCATCAACCTCAAACATTTCCTTTTTCAGTGAAATTCCTCAAGTTGCAAGAGAGTTTGTTTTTTTTCTGCTAGCAACAGTAACTCAGATATGATAAAAACACCAATTTGCACATTTTTACCAAAGATGGGTTGTTTTTGGGGCTTTTTAGTAGAAATGAATGTGCAATTTCAACAAGCCCCAAATCCACTGAAGGTAAATAGTATTTTTCTTGCTTTTGCCCAGACACTAAAGCATTAAAAATAATATAATTTCATCTTTGGAAATTGCTAATCAGACCATCTAATCTGACCATTAACAAAGGCTGTTTCTGACACTGCAAATCAGCTAACAAATGCTGGCTATACAGTATGCTCATTTGTGTCATATTATGGCATAACAGGCGTTTGACTCATATCCTAAATGGAAGGAGTTTAATAGAGCTACCTGAAGCCTAATAAAAATCTCCATATCCAAAATGGGATCAGTGTAATGAAGTCAGAGACTGTGTTTTTATCTACTCCCCCAGTCCGGGCTCTGCGGATAAAAACACCCGCCGTATCTCAGTGTGTTATATTTGACTACGCTGGATATTACTCATCTGTTCTCACAAACCATTACTCCTGGGCTTTGCAGGCATATTTAATAACTTCCTCTTTCGCTTGTGTCTGTAGCTGTGCGTTCAGGGCTCTGTTCATTTGTCCCCGTGTGTATGGTGTCCATGAAGCAGCCTCATCCCTCACTGTTCCCACGCGGTCCTCCCCAAAGGGAAGCCTGTAGCCATGAAAACCACTGCCTCCTCCCCCTGCCCCTCCTCCCGTCTCCGCACACCAGCCCCACTCCACTGGGCTTCATTCACGAGGAGGACGGAGCAGCGCGTATATGTACACGTTCAGGTCAGGAGCGAGGGGAGGAAGGAGGAAGACGGAAGAGCGCAGACGGGGAGTGTAGTCTGGGTGTGTTAGTGTAGTAAGGTGCAGCTCACTATGGCAGGCAGCCTCTTCAGAAGGCTGTCCCTGGAGGAAGACTCAGCCAACTCCCTGGACGGCCTGGATCTCAAGCAGGGAGACGAAGGTAGGACCGCAGGCTCCGTTTGGGCTTTGAGTTTACACATCTTTAAAGGTGTTTGTTGTGGAAAAAGAAAGCAGCTCTGATGATGTGTATAGTGGTGTGTAAAGGCGAGCGGATGTTCCCCGTGCACCTGCTCCTTGTGTTTGAACTCTCCATAGGCTGATGGAGATAAGCAGTGACATGTCAGGATACATGTGAGGAGAGGAATGTGAGAGCAGAGCCCAGTGAGCTAAGCTATAGCACTAACCTAATCAGAGCAGTCTGCTTTGTGACAATATTTGAGCTGCAACTAACTACAGAGGAAGAGCCCGAGGAGAGGCTGCCACAACACTTGTACTGAATTACAATGTGCCCATGATGTTTGCTCTCACAGCGTGGAGCATGAAGTCCCATACATCTCATTCATAAGAGATGAGGTCATTCATATTACATAGGGATGCTTCGTACACACTAATGTTTTCTAATGCTTGACCACCTCTGCCGGGCTCTTGAGATGCCGTTGTTTACTTCACATAGTCAGAGTTGATTACAGATTATCAATGCCAAGTATATATATTGACTTAAGTGAATAAGAAACATTGCATCTTTTACGCAACCTTCGTGGTAAAATTGCCTTCTCTTGTTTTTATTTCATTTCTTGGCTCTTCTCATAAATATGATCAAAAGCAATAGCACTTTCCTCCTTGCATTAACATTCTGTGCTAGTGAAGTTGTTTTATGATGATTTGTTGAGTCTGTATGCAATTCAAGGCAAGCCTGTCAGTTGTCTATTGAATGGAATTAATGTTTGAAAATGTTTTTTGATCAAAATGTCAAATAGGGAATATTTTTCTTCTAAATTAGAGCAATAAGAGTAAAATGTCTTTCAACAGATAATTGATCACAGTTAATCATGTAAGTTTAATATGAATACAGATCAAGTTGAAGCATACCCAGAAAGTTGGGTGTCATTATAGCAGTGCTCCGTCACTTGCGTGTCACACTGTATAGAGTGTTGCAAGATATCCTCTGCTCTGTGATGTAGCTTGACAAGACAGCAGTGACAGCCATAATGAATCACATTTTCTGTCAAAGCCAGTACGCGCTGTCTATCAGCTCACTCTGCACAAGTGTGGAGGAGAGACAGAGACAGACAGACGGAGAGAGAGAGAGAGAGAGAGAGAGAGACAGAGACAGACAGAGAGAGAGAGAGAGAGAGAGAGAGAGAGAGAGAGAGAGAGAGAGACAGAGACAGACAGACAGAGAGAGAGAGAGAGGAGGAGACTGGGGACAGATACACAGAGACCTCCTCTGCATTGTTAATTCACAGTGTGTTTGGACGGGTCATTCATATGCAACAGGGTTCTGATCAGAGACAGCACGCTTCAAGTGACAGACGCACAACCTTCACAAAACTCCTCTCCCTCACTCTTCCTCTCTCTTCCTCACTCTTGCTCACTCTTTCACTTTTCCTCTTTCTTCCTCACTCTCTTTCACTCTTCAGCACTCTTTCTCGCTCTCCACTCCTCCACTTGCTTTTCCTCAGTCTACCGTATTCTTCATTCCTCATTCTTTCTTTCTCCCTCTTCCTCTCTATTCCTCACTTTTCTACTCTCTTCCTCACTCTTCCTCTATTTTCCTTACCCTTCCTCACTCTTTCACTCTCTTCCTCACTCTTCCAGTCTCTTCCTTACTCTTGCCCACCTTTCCTCACTCGTCCTCACTCTTCCTTGAGCCTTTGAACCCTAATGCCTTTTGAGAATATCTTCATTGTGAGCGTCCACTGGACTAATGAAGCCATGTACACACATGATGCATCACTGAATACAGTGTGAGGAGGATTAGGATGTCAAAGGAAATTCTCCTACACAACAGGGTTTTGGATAACACAACTTATTATTATGTGGATCATGTCATCACAGTTGTTTTTGTGCTTTCATTTAGACAAAACCTTTCAAGTCAATGTTATATTTTCCCAAGCTGAGTCAATAAACTTCTAGTACAGACTCTGCAGCCGTGAGCTTGGCCTGATGGGAGTTGGTGTCCATTTGCAAAATGTCAACAAATATCACAAGTGCTGTCTCCAGCCGTGACCTTCACATGGCTAATGAGCGCATCCAGCCCCACAGCTTGAAATCAGCATCGCCATGACGATGGGGGACTTATGGCAGCTACACAGTCTCTGTACTGACCTGTATACAATGATTATGCGCAGAGCATATACCTGTCTCTTATTCCTCTTCGAATACACACACGTATGCAGTAACAGTAATACCATAGTAATAATACATTACTGAGTAGGCCAAGTCAGTATCTTTGGACATTCCAGTTGTTTTGATTTTAGATCATATTTTCTCAGCCTGTTGAAAAACCACAACCACCAAGCCAGCAGTCACTCCAGCAAATCACATAGCATGAGCGTAGAAGATCAAGCAAATGGGAGAAATATTGTTTAAAATCCCTGTTGTTTGTACTTGCTAAACACATTCACTTGGATCATTTTAATGACACTCCATCAAAGTTTGTCACAGTCAAACCCAATCGTGAGACGAGGAAAGACTTTTAATCTCCCAGAGTTCCACAGAGCGACAGGAGGAGACCGCCTCTAAGCGCGCGCAGACAAATGAATAGTAAACGGCGACACATATCATTTATCAGGCGTGGTAAACTTTGTCTCAAAGGAATATTGTCTGCTCAAGTCTGACTGTGCACGCTGTGATCACACCTCCATCTTCTTCCACCTCAAGGCCGCATCTAATTATATTTTATTGAAGGATCCAATCTAAGAAGAGACGCCACACATTTAATAAAGTTTGCTTCAGCCCAGGAGGGACTTCTACTACAGCTGTAACACATTGTGCTTTGTCACGTCTACTGACTGAGCTACTGACTCCTGAAGGACTACGGGTAAACAACATCATGAAGATATTCGCTGTTTGAAAATGGCACGCCGTCAATATAAGCTGTTACATTGACCCTATGTACAGTGTCTGGTGTCTGTGATTAACACACACTTTATTTTTATATGGAATCCTACTGAAACAATTAGATATTTGAGAATCACATAATGTTATTTTTATGCAAATATAATATATGCTGTTTAATTTAAGTTTGAACAAATGCTCTGTCTGGTTTGGTGAAGGCTAAGATTTTGTTGATGTTTATAGCTGATTAAATGAGGGACTGCTGGATCCCGCTTGAAGATTCCAGTAGGTGCACTTTATGTATATTGATTAGTCGAGGCCATCACTATTCTACACCATACACAAGCCCAACACTATTCTTCCAATCTCAGAAATAGCTTCAAGACTGAATACTGGAACAATCTAGTTTGTGTGGGATTTTTTTTTTTTTTTTTTTTTTTTTTTTTTTTTTTTTTTTAGATTTTTGCATTTGCTTGGTTTGTGAGCACTGTAATAAATAAAACTGATGATGGCAGCTGTATATCTGAAAGAAAATGAATTGATCAACCTTAATTTAATTATTGTCTGATTGCTCCAAAAGTCTCCAAACCGATGCTTTTACTTTTACTGACAAATAAAAAAATGAAATGGAAAAAAAGGAAAGAAATGACAGATCTCCAGTTTAATTTAAGTCCAAGTATTGAGGCTAGATTAATGATTGTAATATGGAGAAAATGTGCCCTCCAATGCCTCTCATTTTGGCATCAAGGTAGGCTACTTAATGTAATACCCCCAGGCTGGGCACAGAGCGGGCTGAGATAAGACAATGTTGGCAAGTGTGCTGAGTGTTGCTGCATACAAAGTGTTCCTAAAGGTCTTCAAAATATACACATATATATGTTATTAGAAAATGGGTGATTACAGTATTGAAGCACAGATCCACACGGAGGAGATCTCGTGAGTGCAGTTTATTTAAAAATGATTCATTAATTTCCTCCATCAACTTAATGTGCCTGATTATGAGAGCGCTGTCTGTATGTGCTTTCAGTCATTAGTATGTGAAAGGTCTCTCTCTGTCCGACTTGTATCAATCACAAAACAAATGTGATCTATTTGTCTAGGTGCAGTCCGCAAACAGACACGGAGCTTGGGACTGAAGTGAAGTCCCTCATCGGCCTGCGTGTGGGTGCTCCCTGGGCTCTCCCCCTCGTTGCCGCCCCCCCCCCCCCTCCGCAGCGCGCCATGGCAACAGCACAACCTTGGTTAAGTGCTGGCTAAGAGCTTCTGCCGTGTGCTCCCACCGCGCTCGGTCCAATCCGCAAACAATCACAAGGCCGATTGTTTGGCCGCCTCTGTGACTTTGACTTTAATTGTAGCGCTCCTCTGAGGTAAGCCGCGGAGCAGATGAGACTTGGAAAGACAAAAGCAGTGTTAATTTGCTTTGTCTGTCATTAGCTGTCCTCTGTGCTTCTTCCTGGCAGAGGCGGTTAGAACGGACATCTTAGCTTTAGGTCAGTGGAGTGAAGGGTTATTGTGGGGAAATGTTCCACACCTTGACAGTGGTCTGTTTGCCAACTCACTGTTAGAAAGATTGTTGTCTTGACTTTGCAGAATGACAACACATATTGCAGTTCTGGAAATGAGCCATTGGCATACTGGTAGAGGATGTTGAAACTTTTAGGACACAGAATATCTGAAGCATCTTTATGTTCTGAATTAGCCTGATTTATCAGCCGGTTTTACTTTGTGGAAACCGTCTAACCTCACAGAATTTTTTCGCTCAACAGTAGGCGAGTACTTTTTTAAATTTAACCAATCGCTACTATTTGGTCGTGACGTATATAATACAACATTAACGTGGCTAACTGGTATATTAAGCTTTCTCCAAATCCCGTAGGAAGAAGGACAGTAATGTCTTTCCCCTTGATAAAATTCACCAAACATTTTCTTTATTGCGGCTTTAAATCCTCGACCTCGGGAGTCGTTACCAACACAGAATGTATGGATCTTCACTGACTGGCTGGTGCCCGAACTTGCACTTCCTGAGTTCTTGCAAACCGTCTAGTGTATTCAGATTCCTGACCTAGTCACTGGAGAGAAATGAAATTGAGCAGAGGTACTAGGTGGTTCCAGCCTAGCTAGTTCTGAATAGGCCTGTCACGATAATTACTATATCGATTTTTCATTCAGTATATATTAGATGGAACAACACATTTTGGGGGTCAATATTTATCTTGGGGACATTTTCTTTGTACTACTGAGGAACTTTTGGGTCTTTTTCTGTACTATTGTCAGATTTGAGCTGTGGAGGATTGAATTGGTAGTTTTCCGATTCTAGAATGAAGCCAGTTTTCCCTGTACTTTACACTGAAATATACAGAAGGTGAATTCACAAATGTTGAACCTGATCATTTCTGTTACTGATTAGACCCAAGAACTGACTGTATTACAACAAAATCCTGCATTTAAAAAATATTCATTTGACTTGCCTCCATCTGTGTTAAATCATATTTTAATTATTATATTTAATCATAGAATGCTGTGCTGTGTGTCAACTGAAACCCAGCAATAAATAACTTCTATCGCTATTTATAGATACAAACTAACTAATAATGAGATTAATTCTGCTTGTTATTTATTTCAGTTTTTGTTTTGTTTTTTAACTACATTATCATAGCGTTTAAAATTTGTTATCATGACAAGCCTAGTTCTGAATCAGGAGATCTTTGTTGTCTGGTGTTTTGTGTGATTCCTCTAGAAGTCAGTAACAGTGAGATGATGATGCTTAAAGTTCCCCTGGAGTGACAGTTGCTCACACCAGCAGCAACTTGAGCAAACAGCTTTCATTCAGGGGGAAACTATCAGTAGTGATGAGAAGAGTGGCGCGATCAGGCAACCAGAGCATTGCAGGATTGAACTGCAGTCAACTATTTGAGAGACAAAAAAAAAAGGATTGTTCAAGGCACAAAACTCCCTCCTGATTACCCCCACCTTTCGTGAACTTAACTTGTAAATAGGCTAGAGCAACCCGGGATCAGAACAATGACAGTTTGTCTCGCTTGATCCGTAGGTTGGCAGGTAGATTCTAGCTCTCACGGGTGAATAATGTTGATGTATCCTTAAGCCAGACAAGTGCGTACACTGGTGTATGAAAGCGTGTGAGAATGGGTGAGCAGTTTCTTGATATATAGCTCTTGGGGTGTCTTGAAGCTGGAAAAGTCACCCAGACACCCTGTCATGAGCAGTGGGCGACTACACACAGCCATCTGGGACCCATCTGTAGATCTTATGGCTTTGGTCAGCTCTAGAATATCACCCCTTTGTGCACGTTTTGAGCTGTTATGTTTTTACCAAATGATTATAGTACACACTAGTTGCATTGAGCCAGCGAAAACCAAACAGGCCACATACCATCCTTTCCCCTGTCATCTTCAGTGGAGCAGAAAGAGAGCAGAGGGTTTCTGGAGGTGGGCTTAGCGGACCACCTGACGTACATCACATCATTCCGGTTCATTTCCTCATTGCTTTTCGTGCTCCCAGCCATCACCTGCTAAACGCCGCCATATAGTTGTATCAATTTACACCTGAGCGCAAAGAAATTAGACGCGTTCAAGTGAGAAATGACTTAGCCCTGTTTGTAACCTGTAAGGAGAATAAGAGACTATATTAGCTCCACTGTCTACACGGGACTGGATTGAGCCATAGAAACAAATGGAGCCGTAATAGAATTTAAGTCGGCTGCGTTGTCAACGGCAACCTTTTGATGTCTGTTGTCTGTCAATAGAAAGTGATTTACCCGATGCAATTGTCTGGAGCCGAGGAGGAAGAGTGAGAAGTAGGGCAAGATTTTTGTAATGAATAATAGAAAGTGATTTTTGGAAAAATGTTTAATTCTCTTTTCGGCTGAATTTTCGAGCTTTCCCTGTTAAATATTTATTAACAATAGAGGATAATGTAACGGCAACAGGATTCGGAAAATGTTAGAAATGCTACACAGAAAGCATGAATGGACAAGCCAGAAGTGCTTATGTGGCGACCCCAGCTCTATACAGTTGCAGTGATTAAAGAGAATTATGCAGGACCTGTTCGCCGTGCTTGCTGATTTGAAGGACTGCCAAACGCAAATCTGGCAACCCATCCTTCTCAAGCAGCACACGGAGAAAACACACGGAAACACAGCTTCACCACTAAAAACAAATGCTAAAAACTGATGCAATATTTATTTAATTATAATTTTCAGACAGCAGCATTCTGAGCATCTTGTCTTTTTTTTTTTTTTTTTTTTTTTGTGAGCGAGACAAGACACATAACACTTAAACCGTTATTCATGGGTATTTAAGCTTTCTGAATCATTACATAACATTTTCGTGGCTAAAGATGAAAAAAAAAGCATTCTGCATTTCAGGTTACAATTTTGATATATAGATTGAACTGAAATTTAATTGAAACTGAATAATCATTTTTGCTTTTGGAATTTACATTTACATTTTTAGGTTTCAGCAACATTATATTGACAAAACAAATCTCAACCTCCTTAGTTTCCAAGTTCTAAGTATATTTTATGAACTTAAAAAGACTTTCAGATTCAGCCTCAGCTTAAAATGCCACTTTTGTTGCCTCTGCATCCTCTGATATCACTTTCTGAATAGACGATACACTTGAACTTCACATCTTTGTAGTACGAAAATGTAACATAAGCTCTTACTGCAGGAAGGGAAGTACTGACTCGACTCAATGAAGACAACCCATATAGTGTCTTGCTCAGTGTGGCTTTTTAGTGGCCTGTCTTGGTTATCTATCCGCTTGCCTTTCATAAACAGACCGCCTTTATCGAGCACTGGATATTACAGAGCTCCCTGCACTTACTGAAGAAGTAAAAGTGCTTTTTCTTTCTAATGCAGTTTGCTTTCTCCTATTGTCCATACCTGCTATTTTAACTGCATCATATCACGAACATACTACTTGACAATCACATTCAAACCTTTCAACATCTGAATTTTGCTGGTGTGTCCAATCAGAACAGCCCAGTAGTGAATAGAGAATACTACAAGTTACACAAGAGGCTGGTCAAGTTACAAGTTACATACTATCATCTCTAGTCTCTGGAAACAAGTGATTTATTCATTTAATATTGTAGTAAGAAAATGTTCGGTTACATCTTTATTGTTATTCCAAGCTAAATTGAAGCTACTGTTGCGTAATAACTTTCCTTAACAACTTGCGACTTGCATGTATTGGCTAAATGAGATTGGCTGGACCTGGCTGTGCATAAGGGGCCCCATAGTGACAGTGCTATCTGCTGTGATTAATGTGGACTGGCGGTAGGTGTGTTTGCGCTGTGTACCTGAATGCATCCTAATGTAAGTCTGTCTGGACTGTGCAGACTTGGGCCAATCTTCAGTGAACTGTTGACTGGAGCTTGTGTGGGGCAGTCCAGTGCACTTTGTATTGATTTAGACTGGAGGTAGCTTTCAGACTGTGGAGATGTGTGGCTTTTGTGCACAGTAATCAATACTAAAACTAGCATTGAAACTAGATATTCATTTGATCAAGTTTCAATACTAAAAAGTTGTGTTCACTTTATAGAAATGAACTTTTCCTGACCAGTATACACCCATGGACCACTATGGAAGATACACAGATATAAGGCTTTGTGATAATAAGAAAGTAGTAATGATTTAATGTTGGAAATGACATTTTATTGTCTAAATAAAGAGTGTTTTTAGTTATCTTTACGGAATTGACATAGAGTATCGAGTCTATTTCTTAGTATTGAAATACAATCACACTACAGCTGTCCCAAACTATAAAGCCTCAGGCACAGATTTATTTTTTATTTATTTATTTTAAATTTATTTATTTAAATTTTTTTTTATTTATCTAACTTTGATTGAAAATTTTCATTGAATTTTCCATAAAAATTTTAATTGCATTTTTTAAATTGAATCCTACTCATTTCATATGAGATGAATTATCGTGTCACATCATGTCAGCAAGATGCAGGAAATTAGGTTTTGCATGTCACTTTTGTCAACAATTTGTCAAACCCAGTGGGGCGCCAGTTGGAAAAACTGCTGTTGTGTCCTTAGGCAAGACACTTCACCCACATTGCCTAGTATGAAAGTGGTGTGTGCGAGAGTGATGGTGCTGATCGGAGGGGCCGATTGGCAGCCTCGCTTCTGTCAGTCTGCCCCGGGGCAGCTGTGGCTACAATAGTATCTTACTACCACCGGGTACGGCGTGGATGAATAATGCTCTGTAAAGCTTCTTTGAGTGTCCGCAAAAGCGATAAATAAAACTGATGCATTATTATTATTAATTTATAATGTGGAAAATGCAAAAACATATTTAGGTATTTTGCAAGGCAGTTTTTTGCAAAATGTGTGAGAATTCTAAGGATGATTTCTCTCCCAGCTGCCTCAGTTCCTCAGATCTGCAGTCACCGGGTTCCTCGATCGATGCGTGTTCATGTGTGTGTCTCTCTCTGTTGGAGGACGTTGGGAGTTGTGGGAGCCAGATAGTGTGGCTGTGACAGACTTTACAAGAAGCTGAGTGACAGAGGTGAAATTGCCTGGGAAAGGATGTGAGCCCCCTCCCTTCCTCTCCCCCTCTCACTCCTCCTCCTCTTCCTTCTCTCACTCTTCCACATGGTTGTTTTGCTGTGTAGTGTAAACTCCCTTTATCCAGTCTATTTCCCATGAGGCTGTGCAGAATGTGGACCAGGAGGAGTAAATAAAAGTCTCCCTTTTTCTCTCTTCCTCTTTTTTCTCTCTTTTTCTTTCCATCTTTTTCTTTTCCCTTCTTCTCGCTCTACCCTCTCCCTCTGTCTCCTCTCTGATTCTTCTCTCCTGTTCTCCCTGTCTTCTCTCTCGCTCTAACTTTTCTCTTTCTCTAATCTCTAATTTCTGTCTCCTTCTTGTTCTCCTCCCTCTCTTCCTTCTCTCTTTTCTCTCTCTGTATGTTCAGCCATGCACCAGGCTTTGGACACCCTGAGTGACAGCACCAGCTCCACCACAGCCAACGACCTGGACCTCATCTTCCTCAAAGGCATCATGGAGAGCCCTGTGGTGAGTACATTCTACCTGTTGTACTAAATATGGATGTGAAAAGTAAGTGAGCTATACTTTCTCCTAAAATAGTTCTCTGACAGGCCTTCAGTGCAGTTATTACTGTCATATTCTCTAATCTTCACTGAAGGCATTTTTTCATGGTAGCTGCATTGGGCTGGAGTAAGGAGACACTTTTTCAGTTTAGTTTTAGCTTACTTCAAACTGATTCATTGAAACTTTGTACAAGTGGTGCACTAGCCAAGAAGTGGGCAAAAAGACATTCTGCTTGGCTTCACAGAAGGGTGTAATTCAACATGTTTATTAGTCCATACACAGGACTACACTCACTTCCTTTTTATGATAAGTACAAATGAACAATACAAATGTTTCCGTGGAGATCACACTCGTCTTGTCTCACACGGTTCTCTAAACCACAAGCTGAATCTATCAAGTTTCTAAGCTCTATACAAATTGAAGTAGTTCAGTAGAATTTGAATGTCCCTTACCCACACCAAATACACAATCATTTATTTCACAGTCCTTTTTACTGCTGCCATTTTTTTGACTTCTTGTTCATTTCCCATAAACAAATAGATCCATTAATAAAGCTAAATTAGCAAGAGTCTTTGTGATGGTAATCAACACAAATAGAGTACGATGTTTAAAAAGACATTTGCTCCTTTATCAGTAGCACATTTCACCATGAATGATTTAGTCTGACAATTCAAATGAGGACATCATCATCACATCGAAGTAACTCATAACACATCGATACAGCTCTCAGTAATTTTGTTATAACAAATGATACCCCATCTTATCTTTTAGATACTTAAAGATACATGTATTTGATGTTATTACTTTGCCTGGATTGTTCCCCAGTGTGGTAATAATATGTCCACCCTGCCTTTATTCAATCGCAGTGTTTTATTGCTCAAAACTACACTCGAAAAACATATATGCAGGCTTGCTCTGTACATTTGTACATGTATCTTGGCATCACCTGCTTCCCTCTATGGAAATGGATAATGTTTTGCAGTGGCACATTCCAGGCAAAATAATTAGATTTCCATGGAGACAGGCAGGTGGCAGACACTTCACCAGAAAAGTTACATAATGCACTTTTAAAATAAATGTCATGTTTGTTTATAAAAAGACTTCTATGCTGTTAAAGTGAAGCACATTGTTTTAACGCTGCACCAAGCCTCTCTCAGATGTGAGTTTAGACCAAACTTGCATTGAGACTTCCAGTGGACAAACAGCAGCATTTGAACACAAATGCTCTGCTGTGGTGTGTTGTTCGTGCATCTGTCAGTCACTTTTAACAAGCTCTTCTCCGGATTGTGTTCCCCATTACAGCATACAGCATGTACCTCTGATACAGCTGACAAGACCACATGGGAAATGCACAAATCAATATCTACTGTCACCTCACTGTGTATATCAATAATACAAATCTCTACTCAAAAAACTACTACTGCTAAAAAGTATTTCTTCAGTAGTTTGGTCAGATCTCTGGGGATAGTTGATGTCACCTGTTGTTGTGTCCAGAAGATCAGAGTATGTATGTTTTGAGATTACATAATCACAGCTTTCACATTTCAAACCCTCTTATCTTATTGTCTATGATTACACAGACAAATGACCATAACAGGCTGTGTTTCACTCAGTGTTTCAGAGCATCAGTCCCTTGTTGCGTCGCCCCTGGGAAGAATAAAAGGGACATTGTGTGTTGACCATATGCACTGTTGTAGCTGTTGCCCCCATTGTAAGAATCATTATGCATACAAAGTGCTCTAATCCAGTTGCTCATATTTTAGTTGGGAATTTGCCTAGACTATGGATTATAACTTGGGGCTGGTGTGTGCACTACAGCTCCACAAAGCACACACAGCCTGGAGTAAGAAAACGTCAACATCTGCTGTGGGACTTTTTGTTTACAATTATATGACTCTTATATAGATGGGTAGAGTCAAGTTTAAAGCGTCTTCTGTATTCTTTTTTACCCCACTTTTTAAATTCCTTCCTTTATATTCATTCATCAAATTTGTTCTTATTTATTATAATTAAAATGTCTTCCGAAACTAATTTCCTAAACCTAAAAACAGAAGACTGAAATTAATATTTGCCATTTAAAACAAAACATTTTTCTCTTTCACATTTTTCACATTCTTTTACTGACAGAGGACTGGCTGTAGACCTCTTGATTAAAAGACCCAAGCTGTTAACTGGCAGTTAGAGATGACTGAAGCTCGATCTTGGATAAACTTTCATTAATTGTATTCCAATGGCTTCTTGCTTTTTCATTCAGAGACATGGATTCCTTCTCCCAAGTAACAAACTGGAGATCCTTGCTGTTTCTGTATTTTTATCTGCACTACCAAGGATACTTAACATCGTTTTTCAGAGTTAAGTTTTGTGCGGCCCATGCCTGCTGTGAAGCCGTGCACATTCAGTCCACATATCTTTTTGTTAGGGCCGTGAGCGCTGCATTAGTATGGATCTGTGTTTCTGTGTAGACGCTGGGCTTGTCCACTAGGTTGCTCCGTCCCAAGAGAGGCTGTGGTTTGGAGGCAATTTCTCACATTTCCAAAGAGAGGGACTCAAAATCCGCAGAAAATCTCACCGTAATTCTTCAACACCTTTGTTCCAGAGAATCAGACATGGAGCTCTCGCCAGGAGCTTATACTGCTACAAAATTCTGCCGTGTTTATTTTGACCTAACTTTTCTGTCTTTAAGGGCACATATTGCACTGTTTTCTCATCTATGCTATAATGTTGTTTCCTCATCAAAAACATACCCGAAATTGTGTTTTGTTTCATTCTTGTTTAACACACAAAGGCCGAGTATATTTTCAAGGGGGTAACAATAACATGGCACAATTTTACGTAATATAGAACCTTTAAATGATAAAAAGTTGTTTCCATATTTGTGCTTTTCTCTTGATGTTATCATTTATCAGCAAGCCCCGCAACTTTTACACCCAGAGGAGACTGAGTTGCAACAGCAGCGAGCGAATCGAAGTGGCACACGCGCTAAATGATGCAATCTGGGCAAACCAAATTGGTCTAATGCAAGTGAACAATGATTAGGAGCCCATTGAGCACATATTGACAACAGGAGCTATCATCATGCAAAAGAGCCCTCAGTTATCATCCATGCTTGGCTGCGTATCCAACAGACGTATCCGTCCGGACGATGGAAGCATTTAGAAGAGAGCTAAATAAGCCCACTCTTTATCCCCCCATACACTTTTGTTGTGTCCGGCCCAAGTCTGGCTCTGCAGTCTGGGTGAAGGATGGCAACTGCAGCAAATACCAAGGCCAAGCTAGACAAGTGGAGATGTGGGTTTCTATTAAAGCGTGCCAGTCTTCAGTTTCTATCCATTACAGGCCTGAGACTCGGCTGATAAGCTCGCAGTCTCCAGCTATTTCCTTGTTATCTTCCTAATTAATATAATGGCATCTATGACACCAGTGAACTCTTGCAGTATTACAGAATTGTATAGAGTGTTGCTTTATGTGTTAGCTATGACATTGGGCCTATTAATAACAAATGAAATAAATATATACTTGTAATAGTAGAAAACACTGTAGTAGTCTGAGAGGCATGAAGCTTTTCTGATGTTCTAATGCAAGAAAAGTTTATTTACCATCAATATAGGACCCAGGACCCAGAGACATGATGAACCCTCAATGGGCCTGTCACGATAACAAAATTCTGAAGTACAATATATATTTGTGAAGTAAATATAGACTATACACAAAAAATACTGACACCAAACCATAAAGAAGAACTACGCCCCAAATGTATTTTAAATGTACTATGTTGTTAAAAAATATGATCTGCTCTAAGTACATAACAGAAAGCAACACTTCAGTAGTTAGTTTGTATTTATAATGAGTCAGAGAAGTTCATAATTCAAAATTTGAGTCTATAGCTCAAATTTTGGTTTTAGTACGGAAAAATAACCACCATTTTCCCACTAGAACAAAGAAAACGTTCTCACAATAAACACTGACCCACCAAAATTATTGTTAATATCAATATAGTATTCATCACGACAGGCCTAACCTTCAAGACATTATGATGGTATTGTTCATTCCAGTCTAGTGCAATTCAGTCTGTTGTAGGGAGTATTATACCTGTGATGAGTGCAATTTCTCTAACAGTAATATTAGCTAGGCCCTATATAAAGCTATATAAAAGTAATTGTTGTATTTGAAAGGTAAAGAACATAGAGTATCTTTTTCATATTTGTATTTGTTACATTAGTTTCATGTTTTTTGGATAATTTTCCTTATCCAAACCTGCAAAGGTGTGAACAAACAGAGAAATAAAAGAATCTGAGAAGAACTTGATCCACAAGGGAAATTATTTGGTCACAGCAGATAACAGAGCTAAAAAACTAAATGGTAATAATAAATTCAAAATACGTAGCAAATATAGCAAGAGAGTAAAAATAAAATATAGAAATCTAGTAATGCAAATATCTCAAGGGTATACAAGAGTTCAAATTTTGGTGTGCATGTAAACATCTCTGCTACAAATATTTTCAAACCACATCAGATTTCCTGTATATGTATTCACACAGGATCAAGCACAGTCTCTTCAAATACAGCCAGGACATAGAAAGGACAGCCAACGCGTCGAGGAACAAATAAACAAAGTGCTGAGTCATCTTCCTCCCCACCACGGCAACGGTGCAGCCTGGTTACCGCTGTTACCTGCACCACCGTCCCACCCCCTGCACTCTCAGGCCCTGTTTAGAGCACCATAACAATACTATCCATTTTGTGTCCAAGCACTTGACCTGCGGGTGCAAGCGGCTCCAAATGATCCATCTCAGTAATTGCTAATAATGATAAGTAAATCTGCTAAAACAGCCAGTGTCGTAAACAGTGAATTTATGTTTCCGTGGAGACAGTGAGTTGTTTGCTACAAGCAGGATCTCGACTCACAGCGGGGGCTCTTCCTCTTTCTCTCATACAAAGTGCTCAGCTGCCAGAGTTGTACTTACTTGCTCCTTATTCAAACTTCTCAGAGGGATCAGGAAATATTAGATAATTTGATTCAACAGACAAGGTTCAGCAGCTATTTTTAAAACCAAGCACGGACTATTATCTGAAAGTGTGTGATAATTGAGAATCATGTCAAGGGCATAAGCTTTTGGGTACAATTTATCTTGATTTCTCCTTTTGTATTTTAATATTTTTGCACTCAATTCAACAAAAGCAACTAATACTTTGCAGCTGCATCACGCTGAGAGGTTCTACATGCATGTCTATGGTGAAATGTTCAGCACTTACCATGGTGACACAATGTACAGAGTGTCTGAAAACTGAAAAATAAAATGCATTTAAACATCACATTTTCAGGAGCCTGTGAGTTCATGGTCCCATTTAGGTGTTTGATTTTCAACAAAGAAGGGTGAGAGTGACTAACTTGAGTAACAATCTTTCAGGCAGAGCTGTGCTTACAGTTAGCATCACACCTCCAGGAAAAATCAGCTGCAAAATATCAACTGAACCACCTAAGTCTGCATCTTTCCCTTTGCGAGTCTTGGCCTGTGCCTTTGCGGGTATCTGCATCAACATCTTGTGTAGGATTTGCCCAGCCTCAAAGATTTTTAGCACTTTCATTTTATTATTCATTGCTGTATTATTTGTACTCTAAAACTGATAGAACCCCACAAAGCCATTTTATTATTTCCTGCCAATGGTTTTCCCCAAATGTTGTAAAAATGTGTTCTGTTCTCCCTGACCCTGAACCAGAAGTGCACGCTCCCCATCCAATAACAGCAGACAGTGAAAATTTAATGTTGTATGAAATATTGATGTCTCACTGCCCAACCCCAAAAAACCTACAGGGCATAAGATTTGACTGGAGTTTGTGCTGTTTCTTGTTCTCAGGATTGTTACACTTACAAGACAGTGGACTAGCTAGTGTTCACAGCAGGGGCCCGGGTGCACTCTCCAGTTTGTCTGTTCCCTGTTATTATCACTGACTGGATCAAAAACAGCGTACTGTACGAGGCAGCCAACATTGTATCATAACACAGCAAGGGGCACGCCGTACACTTAGATACTTGTTCTTTTAACTGTTCTCAAATGTTCGGGGCATTTTCATATTAGAGATTTGTTTCATTTCAACAGGCCCACGAGCGTTTTGAGGAGCCCAAACTGGAGGCGGTGAGAGAGAACAACGTAGAGCTGGTGCAGGACATCCTCAGAGAGCTCAGCCCCCTCACACACAGGAGCCAGGCCGCAGACGAGCTGGTGCGCATCCTCAAGGAACCTCACTTCCAGGTCAGACTTCATACACAATCTGGACTGGGCTTCTCATATAATACTACCACAATTCTGGTGATACTGTGGGTCCTCAGCATGGCCACATTACTTTGTTGTAGTTACTGCATTGTCCAGTGGTTTTCAAATGGCTGTTGATAGTTTATAGTCAACCATATGATCAGTTCATGAGAGCTAGAAATACTTTATTTTATTATTAGAGGTCCTATATTATAATGGACAAAATGTTGTGTTTAAGTTTAAGTTAAGTTAGAAAAATATGTATATCTGAAATATGATAACTCATGAAACTTCATCCAGGAGTACATGCTTCTCTAAAATGTTCCTGTAAACTACACCGGTTGACAACAACTGGTATAATTCTTCCTGGTTTGGCCTGGTTTCATTCTGTTATTGACATGATATAGTCCCCCTCTGGTTTAATCCCTATGTTATCTCAAGACCTGGTTTAGTTTCACTGGTCCTTGTAAAGCTAAATGTTCTCAAAGTGCACCAAACAAAGTGATACTTTCTTTGCCAAAAGAAGCATTACTTTTACTGTTGTTGTGTCTATGATACAATTAGGTTGCAATATCAGACCACTCGATTGGATAATTATCTAATGCTATTTTGAGGAATTGTGCCAAGATGTCCAAGAATTCCTAAAATGTCCTAAAATGTTCTTCTGCTTTATTTGGGTTGTTATAAGTTTTCTGAGCTGCCAAAGTGTGTAATATAACAGCTTTGTCAAACTGATGAGAGAAATTATTAATTATGCAAGACTGGGTTAAATTGAGCTTGAACTGCTAAGTCTTTAGTGTTACTGCCTCATTTAAAAAGCCCTATCTAATTCCTGCCATAACATTTTACTTTCAGTCCCTGCTAGAAACTCATGATTCAGTGGCGTCCAAAAACTACGAGACCCCTCCGCCCAGCCCCTGCTCCTTTATGGACGCAGCCCTGAACAACCAGCCTGTGCCCCCAGATGCAGTGCGCATGGTGGGCATACGGAAGGTCTCAGGGGAGCACCTGGTAAGTCTACAGCCCTGTTTAATAACATCAAGTATGCAGAGACTACTTTATCTGAATATATCATTGAAATAGCTCTAGCTGACAGACAGACGTACCCAAGGGCTGCGTTCTTTATATGCAGTTTTGAAAATGCATTTATGGCAGTTCTCTGGTGCTACAGAAAGTTCTCAGGTGGATTAATCTAATGAAGCCTAAAAGGTTTGAGAGCAGCACCTGCCAAAGTACAATTTAGATGTGAATGCTGTAATGCAATCCAAGTGTCTTGGATTTGAAGGCAAGATCCTTTAGATGGATATCTTTTAATAGGCTAAAGTCATTTAGATGGTTTGATGATAATGAACAAAGAAAGACCGTCTCTTTGGTGCATAGCATTATTTAATGACTCTATGATTTTCTGTTAACTGCAGTTGGATCTCAGTAGTGACAGAATGTCAGAGTGAGTGATTGTGGCTGGTATAGTCACCCAGGCAGACTCTTGATATGAATAACAGACAGGGATCAGTGAATTTGTACTTCAATATAATATTTTCAAACCTCTGCTTGAAAAGATTTTTCTCCATTTAAGATATCCATTCCCGATGGGGGTACCTGGAACAGAAATGTTCACAATCAATCAGTTAAATATGAACTAAGTCTATCTTAAGCCCAGCCCAAATCATTGTACGCTATACTTAATTTAACCTTTATTTATCCAGGGAAGTCAGCTGAGAACTAATGGTCTTTTACAACGACAGCCTGATAAAGAGGCAGTAGCACAAGAGAGCGAGAGAGTGACAGTGCATATAATACAAGAAACAAGCTATTTACAATATAGTGTAGTAGTATGAAAGAGATACTGCACTCATCAAAAGCTATATATCTTAAGGAGATTTGAAGGCAAAAGAAGGGATCAAAGTATGGATCCTCACTGCTTTTACAGCTCATTCTAAGTAAGCTTTAAAAGCTGCAAATGCTTTTACTGGACCCTGTCCTTATTTACTCCCTCTTTGTTAACATTGTGTCTGTGTGTGTGTGTGTCTGTGTCTCTGTGTGCACCTGTGTTTGTGTCTGTGTGTGTTTGTGTGTGTGCATTCAGGGCGTGACATTCCGCGTGGAGAGTGGCGAGCTGGTGATCGCCCGGATCCTCCACGGTGGGATGATTGACCAGCAGGGCCTGCTCCATGTGGGCGACATCATCAAAGAGGTCAACGGTAAAGAGGTGGGCAACGACCCCAAGGTGCTGCAGGAGATGCTGAAGGAGGCGAGCGGCAGTGTGGTGCTCAAGATCCTGCCCAGCTACCAGGAGCCCCACACGCCCAGACAGGTCACTCCCCTGCCCCTCTGCCCTCCACTGTCCTCTCTTCATCTGTGTGCAGCCATCTCCATCTTTCTAACCACCCCCGCTCGCTGTCCTCTTTGGCTTCTCCTCAGTCTGCAACCTTGTGAGTCATGCCAAGTATCCCAGATTTAATCTGACTGAAGGACTTTCTGGATGACATCGGCTTTTTGGCCGTAGCATCTAAATGAGTGCTCTGTCAGTTATCCAAACGCAGGCCTGTCTGCTCCTGCGTAAATCTATTGTCTCTTAGATTTGTCCTCTCTTCCTCTGAGCTATGTTGGCTTAGTTGTGTCTGTCTCTTGATGCTAGTTAGAGCCAGTGTCTGTGGAAGATACTCTGATGGCTGCTGGGCTGACCCACTTTGAGCACGGGGAGGTGCGGGCGATCTGTCTGCTGATGTATTGCCAACAGGAAGAGAGAGAGCAGTATGCCAAACACAAAGCCCAAAGAACAGTAGCTCTCAAGAAACCGCATCAATGAATGATGCTAGATATACTAAAAGATAATAGTTTGACAAAGATATGGCCATTTTGTGAGCCAAAGCTCTTACCATAAACACGATTCATGGACTGAAGTTTTCTTTCTGCTGTTTTGATTAACAAAAGTGTAGTAACTCACTTTTATGCTGGGCACATTACTGAGGTTGGAAAGGAACGATGCTATCCTCACGATTAAATTGTTCGGACTTTAAAAAGCTAATTTTCGCATTTTATCTTTAACAGCGCAGCCTCATTTATTCCACGTCAACTTTTAAAATATATAGTTAGGGCACTTTTAGTGAACTTGAGCGCCTTGTCTTTTCTTTGGGGATGTAGTCTATAATATAAATGAACCAACTCCAATAACATCTCAGATTGTCAAGTTTTCATAACCTCAAACTAGATCTCTACAGCTCTAGACTGTGTATCTGTTATACTCATTTAGTATTTGACGATGTCTTAGTCAACCAAAATCTGTATTAGGTGACTAATGATTTTGTTTAGATTATAAGAATTTATATGGGACAACAGCAGGAGAAGTGGGTGAGAGAGTGAGTTAGAAGAAGACTTGGAATCTCATGGAAGTTATGTGTAAAAAAAAAAGGCAGATTAAACTCATGAAGAAATTTAATCTCTCATTAGATTAAAATATATTTCCAAGTCATTTTTTTCTGCATAAATTGTTGTTTTAGCATGAACTCCCATGCAGGTGTAATCTTGTGAGCGCACTTTGGGTCAGGTACATAGAAATACATAATTGTTTTGAAAGTTTTGCCACTAATCTATGCTAATCTACTAACTAATCTATGAACATCAGGATATGTCTTGGTCTAATCGACCAAGAATTTCTTTAGTCGAATACAACCCTAGCATATACATAGCACACTGTGAATGTTTTATGAGCGAGACTATTAGAGCTGAGAGTGAAGAAAGAACAGTAAGATTTGTGCCGCATGTATGTAGCAGCTGTTTATTTGCACCCGCACGCACACACAGAGGAGATGGCTCCATTGGGTGTGACTGACATGGCCTCCTGGGGCGCTCTTATACGTGCACTGGGCTTTTCACGGGGATGAAATGGCTTTGTGTCATGGTGTAGCCAGATAGCTCAACTGTAGCCAACGAGCAGCGTGTGATGTGCGGCTCTGCAAACTGTGTGAGTAAAGAGTCCATCACTAGCAAGCAGCGCACTTAAAACCCACTCCATCTCCCCCGGATCCCTTTCTTTCCCCACATCTCGAGGCTGGTAGAGCAAAGCCAGCTCTCATTGACAGGAGGAAGGAGCAGAGGAGGACAAGGAGACGCGCGCAGGGAGACACAGGCAGAACCTAAAATTCTGTATCCATAGCAACCGTCTCCTCCCCCTTTTTTTGGTTTTGACGTTTTTTGCCTGAGCTGACAGGCAGTGTGGACTTAAAACAGGGTCTTTGGGGTGGTGCTGTGCGGCGGGGTCTGCAGGGACATGGGCTGACGCACACACAGTTGCAGTTAGAAGGGGCCATAGGCAGCTGTCAGTAAAGGTTAGTCACCAGCTCCATGTAACATAGGCTTCAGGCTTTAGACGCAGCTGCAGTTTAGACACAAAACTTCAGAAACAAGTTCAACTGTGTCATTAGCATTTATGATGTGATGCACACTTTGATCACTTCTAAGAATTTTTTTTATTATCAGTCATTTTGTGTTCTTCTTTTGCATAAATTATCTATCCATATCCTCTTCACCCATGAACTTCGTCGTATTATTGTCAACTCAAGAAATTCTTAGTCGACTAAAGACATATCCTGCCTATCTATGCTTCTCACCCAATTTTCACTCACAGGACTACGCCTGCACAGGAGTCCATACAAAATCAACTGCTTATGCTAAAATTAGGAAACAAGTATTTATATAATTTATTATATCTGTCTTTTTACATATAAATACCAAAGAATTCCAAATCATCAGCTAAGGCACTAATGTCTCCTTTCTGCTATTATAAAATCCTCATAATCTAAATAAAATGAGTAGTCAACTAATAAAAATTTTGGGCAGACACAATTGACAGATTGGACCATTAGAAGCCTACAGTTTCATTTCATTCACAGATATAATGAGCTTTTTTAGCCCTACTTCCTTGCAGTGCTTTACTTCAGCATTAACTTTACCTGCTGTATTTCCTCATTGACTGATCTTGTGGTCAGATTTTATTGTTTTCCACCAAAATTCAGTCTAGCCACAAGGAAAAAATGATTGGCTCTAAATATTGTTGGATGATGTCTTGGAATAATAATAATCACAAAGGTACCTATTAAGGAAGGAAACTGTTAAGAATTGGTTTTGATAAATTTGTGTGCACTAGATTTACTGACTAGCATCATCAGCATCTACGCATCTGTGGGTTTGAGAATGGTAAAAAATTAGGCCCATTGCCTTAGTGATTAACAGTTTAAAACTAAATATATCTTTAGACTGTGAAGTAGACTAAGAGAGTGACATCACCCATAGCAAACAAAGCTTGCTAAGGCTAGCAGTTATAGGAGTAAATTTTGAACCAGGAATAGATTTATGGACTAAATAGCAAAATCAAAACACTATGATCATGTAGAGTGGGTTAATGAGAAAATTTCTGATCAAAATGAGGAGCCGGACAGCAGCAGTTACAGACAGAGAGGCGACATTTTCTAAATACAAAGTGAATTGGAGCTGGTGTTGATCGAACCAGAAGTGCGCGCATGCCCACATTCTATTTGGCCTGTGGTGCCTAGTGGGTTAACTATGCCCATGTTTTTCATTAAACACTAAATGTCTTCAGTGTTTGCATACTTTGTACTTTTATTTATTTTGCCTGTTGCATCTCTCCTCTGTAGGCTTTTGTCAAGTGCCACTTTGACTATGATCCATCCCATGACAATCTGATCCCCTGTAAAGAGGCCGGCCTGAGCTTCAACAGCGGAGACATCCTACAGATCTTCAACCAGGAGGACCTCAACTGGTGGCAGGTCTGCATGCACGGCTCTCCTCACATGTTCTCTTCTGCATCAAACGGATATCAGATCTGAGTATGTTTTTGTTTTCTCGGTGTGTTTCCCCTGCAGGCTTGTCACATAGAGGGGGGCAGCGCCGGGCTCATTCCTAGTCAGCTTTTGGAGGAGAAGAGGAAAGCGTTCGTGAAGAGGGATCTGGAGCTGGCGACTACAGGTACACAACAGTGATGCACCTCTCATTATGCAGAATACACACACACACACACACACTTGAGCGACAAAGACAACATCTGCTCCTGTTGTGCACCAGCGTTTCATGTAACCAGGCGCCCATCCTCCTCCTCCTCCTCTCACCTCTCTGCTCTGTTCTTGTCATCAGCGGGCAGAGAAGAAGCGGTAATGAGAGTAGCCATGACTCAAGAGTGCTGTTTAGTTTGCAGCATAGGCTCATTGCAAAAGAACCGTGGGCAAATCTGTACAGATGTAAAGACGATCAATATTAAGGTGTTCAGAAGTGCAAACGGAATAGAGCCAAGCAGCTAGTGACTCAAAGGTAGCAATATAACATTCAATCGAAAAAATGTCCTTGGAGTCTCAGCAAACCTAATCTCTCGAAGAAAACACGTCCTAATTAATATTCCACCTTTTGTAAGTAATTAGCATTCTGTTTGTATCATGCATAATAATGTTTTGTGCCACATATTCAAGTTCACCTTAAAAAGACAGTGAAGGTGCAGTGTCTATGCTGTAGATGTGTCCCAGGGCTTGTCAAAATGCCATATTGAACAGATGGTCAATGAGACTGGCTGGTCACAGGTGTTTCCTGGCAGGAGCGCATATGGGTAAAGATGCACAGTGCCATCTAGTGGTTGGCTCTCACTTTAACTCAATCTAAGTGGATTTATGAGGCAGTAGTGTTTTCAATGACACCTGACCTTTACAGTAGATCATTTTAAGTGAGGATTTGTCCGAACAATGCTGGAGGTATGGTTTTTGTTTTGGTCTATTTCAGGGCCTTTGTGTGCTGGCATGGGTGGCAAGAAGAAGAAAAAGATGATGTATTTGACCACCAAAAATGCAGGTAAAAGTTTGTAACAAATACATTATAAACTCTGGAAGGGATGAAACTGAAGTGAAGTGGGACATGCTTTTTCAATGGACACTTAGGATGAGTCACAGACTTTTACAAAATGTGAAAATTGGTGCTTTTAATGTAATGTAATGTAATGTTAGAGCCTGGAAAGAAAATGCTAACACATGTGTATTTGTTTATTTAATTGGTGATTATCAAACATTCACTTTTTTGGATGAAGGCAAAATCTTGATTTGAAGGTTTACGGGACAAATACAGAACCCTTATAGTTTATTTAGTGCTGTCATGCGATTAAAAAAATTGAGAGATTAATTAATTATGATCTGTAATGAATTAATCTAATTAATCTCATTTTAATCTCACCTAAAAATTGCTGAGAAAAGCCTTCAATTTGAGGTATTTTCATTTAAATTCATTATTACATTATTGTGGCAGATCAAAAGACTGATATAGAACAAAAAAAGTGACTTTATAAAGTCATTTATTGTTTAACAAATCTCTCCAAATTGGTTGTTGAGCCCAAGTCTCCATGAATAAGAAACTGTTTGCTGTAAAGTAGCAAAGACGAGGAAATCTGAACATAATAACTTTTGTCTACTTAAAGACAATAAAAAGTCCAGTCTTTCCTTAACCATGTTAAAAATATTATTGATAGAGAAATGCTTTATATATGAGATCACTGGTTTTAGTCCTTGTTTTAGTCCTGGTTTAGACCTGCTTTAGTCCTACTTTAGTCCTAGTTTAGTCCTGGAATGGATTAATCCTGGTTTTAGTCCTGGTGTTATTTCTGGTTTAGTCCTGGTTTAGACCTGGTTTAGACCTGGTTTTAGTTCTGATTTAGTCCTGGTTTAGTCCTGGTTTACCTGGTTTTAGTTCTGATTTAGTCCTGGTTTAGTCCTGGTTTAGTCCTGGTTTAGACCTGGTTTAGACCTGGTTTAGACCTGGTTTAGACCTGGTTTTAGTTCTGGTTTTAGTTCTGGTTTAGTCCTGGTTTAGTCCTGGTTTAGACCTGGTTTAGACCTGGTTTAGTTCTGGTTTTAGTTCTGGTTTTAGTTCTGGTTTAGTCCTGGTTTTAGTCTTGGTGTTAGTTCTGGTTTAGAGGCTCACGGGAGGAAGCGCGGTTTAGGCAGCGTACGCGAGAAACACGATCCACACGCGGCTCATGGGAGGACAGCGGTGTCCGCGCAGTAACTACGGAAGGAAACGTGGTCCGCGCGTTCTCAGGTTAATGACGATGATGAAGGTGTGTGTGTGTGTTTGTGTTTGTGTGTGTTTGTGTGCGTGTCCCCTCATGTGGCAGGTCACTATAGGACAGTAGTGCAGACATCATGAGTCTATGCAGGTTGTTTTCACCAGTGACATTTAAGTTGTAGGCGATTTTATATTTGTTATTTTCTTTTATATTTCATGTCGGGAGAATAATTTCCAAGACACGAATGTGTTTTTACCTGTGCACTGCTGCCTCTGTTCTACTGGCTCTTCCACCTCGTCAATTGTGCGACTGACGCCGCCAACGTTAACATGACGTTTAAGTCGCTCTTACTGCGCGCGTTTTGTGTGGGTTTCCGGCAATGAGTGGAATTACCGAAATAAAAAAATGTATAAATGTGTTTTTTGTGTGTGTGTGTGTGTGTTGTTGTTGTCCCAACAACACATAAAAACAGGTTTTATAACAAAGAAACTCGCATACAGAAACACTAAAGTTAGAGATTAAAAATGAGATTAACGCGATTAAAAAACATAACGCGCTAAATATGACTGTAATTAATTAATCGCAATTAACGTGATAATTTGACACCCCTAAGTTTATTATCTAATGTACCACAAATAATGCAGTACTTCACTTTTGACCTCTGGTGCCTCTATTCTGGAGTGTTCAGCATTCTGGTGACATACTATTTTTAAGGGTCACAATATAATTTTATTATAAAGATGTGTCAAAGATATATGTGGAAATGTGATGTTAATGTGTACTTTTGTTTTGTCAGAGTTTGATCGTCATGAGTTAAGAATCTACGAGGAAGTGGCCAAAGTGCCTCCGTTCAGAAGAAAGGTGCTGGTTCTGATCGGGGCTCAGGGAGTGGGCCGTCGCAGTCTAAAGAACAAACTGCTGGTGTCAGACTCCCAGCGCTACGGCACCACCATCCCCTGTGAGCCTCCATTTATCACTGCTCTCTCCATACAATGTACTGGTGCTGAGTGTGCACTAATCCAAGCCATTTGTACTGCACAGTTACATCCAGGAAACCTAAAGTGGATGAGAGGGATGGCCAGATGTATTGCTTCATGACCCGACACGAGATGGAGTGTGACATAAAAAATGGGCGATTTCTGGAGCACGGCGAATACGACGGAAACCTGTATGGCACCAAAATCAGCTCCATTCACGAAGTCATCGAGACAGGGAAAATCTGTATACTGGATGTCAACCCCCAGGTATGAGCCCTCTTACTATCACAAGAGAGTTTTCGGTTCCGTTCTCATTCTGATTTCCTGTATCTCCAGCTACATGCAGGTCAGGCTAACCATAATGGCCATGTGCATAATTACACTTGGTCAGATCCTACACATCATCTGATCTACACAATTTTTTGTATAACTTATATAATGATAAATAACACATTTAACTTTTATATTACACTGAAAGGACCAACTACATTTTTATTATTATTAATTATCAGTCTGGTCCCACCATGTCTAAATATATAGAAGTTGAGTCCACCTGATCATCTGTTGCCATGGTAACAGGAGAACTAAAACTATGAGCCACACGATGCTCAGTGGTTGTTTGACTAAAACTCATTTTAGCCAACTGTGTAGGAGGCAGAACTCTGAGGCCCTCCACTGAGAAACATTAACACGAAGCTCCTGCTTTTCCACTTTGTTTTAAACAATATGTCTCTGGAGCAACGACATGTGGTTCAATTTACATCTGTTATACCACTGTGGAATATGCTTATGCTGGAATCCCATAGCACCAAAGAGGAGGAAAACACTGACAAACATAACATCCACAGTGCTAGAAGGTCTTCTAGCATTATGTGTGTGTTTAGAAAGACAATGTGCTCATTTAATTACCTTCCTAATAACTTTATGTTAATAGCGCTGTCAGTAAGTATTTCTTCTGTGATTGCAACATTTTTAAATCCTCTAGGGGTTTTGGCTTATTGGCGCTAAGTCTTGTCTGTGTACATCATCAGTAAAAGTCATGTGGTAATGACAGCATTAGCCGCTACACAGAGTTAGTTAATTTTATTTACACACATTATCTTGATGAGTGTGTTTGCTGGCTCTTCACACATTCACAGCTGCATAGGCTTATTGAGTGTGCTGGTGTGTGCAGGCTCTTAAAGTACTGCGGACCTCCGAGTTCCTGCCCTATGTGGTGTTTATTGAAGCACCGGACTTTGAGGTGCTTAAAGCCATGAACAGAACAGCCATCGAGTCTGGAGTGGTCACTAAACAGCTCACGGTGAGGTTCAACAAATAATCTATTAAAGGCTTAGCACTTTTAGTACTGTTACTTCACATAACTTAAAGGGAATAATGAAAGGAATGCATTAAAGCGCAATCTATAGGTACGTACAACTTTTATTTAGTGTTAGATTACAGGTAAAACAGTGATTCTTTCATGGTGGTCTGTGCTTTTAGTTGGAATTTCATTCTATTATCAATATAACACATTTTTAATAATCATTTTTTAGGTCAATATATTTATTATAATATACAATCACAACTCATCAACTCACATATAATCTGATTTCAAGCTTTAATGATCCATTTAGATTATCCTTCCAGAAGTTACTTCATTTTCTGAGCCCAGAGCCATGTCTTTATTTGACTATCTTAAATGCATTTTCTTACTTATGGTAAAGTCTGTCTGTATCCTGCTTTGAGCGGTGCAGCGCTCTGTCAGGATGGAGCTGAGCAGATGTTTGTGAATCAGACGTGGTGTTTCATGGCTCAAAGCGTTTGGCTACCGGCTCTGTCTAACAGTTTAGTTTACGACACACACAGATATTTGCATCTTTGACAGAGACAGAGTGAGCCGAACAGTCTGCTGTCTGCTGACAGACATCAGGCACAGTGACATTTTACACATATTGGCTTGTTTCTTCCACAGGACTCTGAGTTAAAGAGGACAGTAGATGAGAGTGAGCGAATCAAGCGAGCCTATGGACACTACTTTGACTTGTGCATTGTAAATGATGGTCTGGACGCAGCGTTTCGGAGTCTACGCTCAGCTTTGGACAAACTGTCCACAGAGCAGCAGTGGGTCCCGGTCAGCTGGGTCTTCTGAGGTCAGAGGACACACTCTGGCAGAGGAGGGGCAGGAAGCATCACTGTTCAGTTCCAACCTCACGGCCAACATTTTTGTACAAATTTAGTGTCCCTCTGTCATGTTGTCTTTTCTTTGTGGAGATGAACTTAGAGTGAGCTTTAGTGCAATAGTGTGATTGAGTGTGTGTTCTCATAAATGTGGAAGTTATCTACATTTTCTTTGAAGGATGTTCTATTTAAACCTTTTCAAATGTTTAATTTATTTAGTGTGATGTTTACAGTTGGACTGGCAAGAGTGACTGCTTAGAGTGATAATACCAAATGCCATCTCTACCACTACTGTCTTTCCTACAGTATGATTGTATCTGTTCTCAAATGTTCATTGTGTTCCTTTGTCTGCGTTAAACTGACAAATTAACAGCAATAGACCATTATAAAACCTGCTCAATGCAATACATTCTTCGGACTGAGGTATAAAGCACTGTTTGTGAGTAAAAATAACATTGGAAATGACTATATTCTTATTAACACATCATATGTATTGCACATCTTCAGTTATACTTGTAGCAGAGCCTCTAACATTCACCAACTCAAACTCGAGCAGTAGCCTTCATATGCACTGACTGTATAACAAGGCAACTATTGTATAACTCGACGTGTGATTGGAAAGATGGATTCACTGTATAAATATTGACCTGTGGCTTTGAAGTTTTGCCTTAATTACAATAATAATAATCACATGGTTCTGACGCCAAGGAAGCGCACCATTTTATCTTCATGAGATCTTGTGTCAATGTTCTTAGAAAGAAACAAACTTATTTATCTTCTGTTCCCTCAAAGCTGTAAGTACTGTATTGTAATCAAATGTATAGTATAACATAGAGAGACTTGGGTGCTGCCGGTGTGTAGATGCAGTCGGGGAACTACACTGTAGTTGGATGTTCATATGTATCTTCAGAATATTGCTTCACTGTTAACTGTCACTATTGATGCAAAGGATTTTTTAATTAAAACATGTTCTATATACAAGTGGCTTAAGTGTCTCTATGAGTGTGAAAGGCTGGGTGAGTCACTGGTCCACACACGAGGTTCCATCCGTGCACTTTAAGGGTACATCTCGTATGGAGGAGGCTCTCCACCCGACCACACAAAGCTAAGTTTAGGATCAAACTACAAAAAAACACATAGCAATACTTGTAAATGTGTGATTGTAAATGTCATTAATATTTTGCTATTTCCTGGTGTTCTTTGTGACAACTGACCGGTGAATATGGAGGAGGCGGGTCTGTGGTGCTGTATCCAGGGGGGACGTTGGTAATAAATACCACCATTTCTGCCCCGTCCTCTGGCTGGACAGCAGTGTGGACACGGAGCGGGGGCGTGGTGACATCATACGAGCCCCTCCTCTTTTTGGAGTAGTGGTAGTAGCACATGAGCACCACAGCTATGGACACGACCAAAACCGGCAGACTGACCAATCACATGGTTAGCACAATGAATATCTAACTTAGACTAACACCTGTGAATATTACTGTCCACTCACATATACTGCAAGAGATGCTCAGCTGTGGTCATGACTGGGCTCTGTCAACTTGCAGGCATACCCAGTCTCTGAAAATGGTGCTTTTAGATCTGAAAAGTGACAGTTAATTAGATTTTATATATTATACTAATTTTTAATTCATTTATTTTGAAGCATTGGTAAGACTTTTTAATAACTACACTGTAATGAACCTTCATAACAATGACAAATTTTGAAGCATGATATATGGCTGTAGAAAAGCATTGATATTGAAAGAACTTTATGCCACTGACACATTAACAATAATGCCAGATAATCCCAGTAAACCATCAAAAAAGGCATGTGCTTAGCTTTTGGCTAAATAGCAAAATGAACCAATTATTAGCTACAAAAATTACTCTTTCAATCCAATAGCACAACTCTTACAATTGTAACACTAAAAATTAAATCTGATTCAAATTTAAAATGAAAAAAGATCTCCCCACTACTGCAAAAAAAGTTGAAATAGTAATTATCATGACAGGCCTTATAATTGCTTAATTAATACCATAACTAACTCCTAACCATAACCCCTAATTAAGTAGTTACTCATTCTCAATCATTAATTTCAAAATACTTGCTCATGATTATAAAATAGTACCAAAGCACTCCACAAAAGTCATTTTCATTAACAAAAGAGTTCAGAAAATTGCCTGTTCAGTTCAGGAGTGAGATCAACAGAGTTAATAGAAACACACATAACAGTAATCGCGCTCTACTGACCTCATGTGGCTTGAGGTAGTAGTATGCAGCATCTGGATATCCTTGTTAGCAGGAAATGAAGCCAAATCAATCAATCAATAAATAAATAAATGACACTTCAATCTGTACTAATAAAAAGTGATGTAACAAATCATTAACTAAGACAGCTTTGTGTCGCATAGCTTTTAAAAAGTACACTCTCCTAATGAGCCCATGAGTTAATGATATTAATGTAAAATATAAAAAGTACAAAAAAAATAAATAAATAAAATTAATTAAAGGAAATTCTCAGGTGACTATTGTTCCATTTGGATAGAACATGCCTGTGTTTTATAGTGCTCAGCTGATTTCAGACTGTGGACTTTCAGCCTTAAACTACGACACATTTCTGTTGCTCTAAAACAAATACAATCATTACATATACAAGAGATCACATCAAAATAATGCTGTGTGGGAACATGTGTGTATAATAATCATCTTCTTACCTTATAGTTTTGAGCATAAGTTTTGATCTGGTTGTTTTCAGAGCAGTGTCACTCAGGGAAGTAACTAGTGTGATGACCATTTACAACATAACTCATGTATTTAAAGCAACAGGCATGCAGAATTACACTGGTAATAGTTCAACTTTAAAACACATTTCTCAAAACATTTTCTTAAGCTTTTATTATCAAACAAAATATATCATATACTATACATTTATATGATATGAACAATGTTGAGGGCAGTACATGTTAAGGACTTGATAATAACACTGAAATAAATTAAAAATGATGAAGTGAACAGTGGGATGGGGCGATGAAGAGGAGGTTCAGGTGACTGTCTGCCCGGTGCTGTCTCTGAACACATCTGAGTATGAAGGAGGGACAGCATCGAAGTATGAAGGGGGCTCCAACTGTGAACAAGGAAATCACAATTCAGTCAAAAATACATAATAATAAAAATACAACTTTTATGGCATATATTTAGTTCAGAATAATGCTGAATTCCCTTTGCTAAGCTTGTATTACTTTTAGTTTTAACAATGGGAGAGTGCTGTGCATAAACTGTGTGGCCGGAGATGATTACAAATCATGACTGCAGTTCAAGAGCAATATCTTTATAGCATTATTATATAGCTAGTGGGTACAAGTTATCTGTTTTATGCTGTTTTATCTTATATGTCTACAAAGTTCAGGGCAAGCTTCCTTATTGTAGTCAATCTTAAACCCACTTTGGATTGACATTTTGTTTTTGTTTTTTTCACATGGCTCATAATAGTAAAATTTTACCAGTCCAAAATATTGCAAATCTTAACTTTTCTAGTATGTTAATTTCAAATATACTGTTGCTATAGCATGTAACTGTTTGTGTTTTGGTAAAGAGTAAAATATATTGTCTTATAAGTTGTCATTCAAAACTCTTCTTCATAGTAAAACTTAATGTGAAACCTAAATCAATTTTGGATTCAAATATTTTCAAATGGTTACTATTAGTTTACACATTTCTGATTATAAAATACTTTGATGTACCCTGTATGGAGGAGGCAGGCCCAGCTCACTGTGACAGCACTCTGTAGATTCTGTGCAGGGCTCGCCATAGCAGTCATACACAAAATCCCCTGCTCCCTCCTGCTCTTCGTTGTACAGAGGGATGACATAGACTGATGGAGGCTCTCTGTGCACCAGCGGCTCTTCCTCCCTCTCTCTCCGATATTTCATGTAGTAGCAGCAGAAAATCCATATCGAGATACTCACACCAAACAATGGGATCCTAAAAATAGATAGAAGCTTACAGTAAAATCGATGGCAAATCTGGTAAATAATGGCACGTTACTTATACTTACTCTATGAAGTAATAGTTGGACATATCTGACAAGCTTCAGTAGCGTTCAGTATTTAATGAAGAAAAGTGATTGGAGGTCCGAGCAATGCCAGTCCAGTTGGCTGTGTAGTTTTATCTTAACAGAAGTTCAAAGGTTGCCTGTTTTATCTCCTCAGTTATAAAGGCATTGTCTCTGCAGGCATGACAGACAGGACAGTAGAACTCTAGGTCTGACCCACTTACCTCTTGTTAGGACACATTCACATTTCACAAGTGTAGATTGTATAGGTGGTGAACTCCAGAGACGGTACCAGCGTAACGTTATGTAACTTACGTCATTGTTTGTAATGGTGTTTTATAGGTGCGTTTTATAGTTGTGTTTCAGAGGCATATGAGGAAGAGTAGTGTTCTCTCATCAATGCACTCTGATCAATAAGGGATTCCATTGACAAGAGTCTGATCCAAGTCAATAAATAACTCAGTGGGCTTTGCATCACAGCTGACCCACTGTCTGGATTTAGACATTGTGTCATTTTGTTTACAACTGTGTGATGGTCACAGATATCACCTCCATGCCTCAGGAGTGTGTAACCCTTCACCGTAGGGTATCAGAAGTAGACACTAGGTTTTTAGGTTGAAGACGTTGGATGTGTGTGATCTGTGACATAACTTAACCTAAATCAGTATCCTTTGAAACATTTGTTATAACAGGCACCAAGGGTCAGCAACAGCTGACTACTTTAATATTAATCTAGGCCTGTTATTGTAAATGAAATCATATTTGATTTATTTAAAGACACATACATACATAAAAATCCTATTGTTGCTAAAACTTTTTTTTAAGCTGCTACAGTATGTAACTTCCTGGAGGTGGCACGTCACCTGCATGATTCCATGGAAATAAAGTTAAAACCACATTTCATCAGAACATTCTCCATGGAGACATATATGTTTTATTCCATACTGTGAAAGATTAGATTATGTAACCACATTTCCGTGGAAACAAGCAGGAAAAGGTAAGAGGTCCTCTTCCTGCCAAATAGGTTTGTGGAGATGCAAGCCTGGTAACAGTATGGGCGCATGTTGTTGTTGTTGTTTTTTTTTAGTGCAATAAAATGCAATAAAATCTAAATCTATATGTGTGTGTGTGTGTATATATATATATGCGTGTGTATGTGTGTATATATATATATATATGTATATATAAAATATGTGCATGTAAAAACTGAGAAGTCATGGACCAAACTAAATGTTTATTGAAAAATTTCAACGACATCTACATGTTTTCTTTTCTTTTGAGATATGTAATGTTAAACTTTTTGTTATTAAAATAAATGTTTAAATAAAACAAGGAAGGACAAAACTATAATGAAAAAACAAAAAACAAAAAAAACAAAAAACAATACATTCCTGTGTTTTAATATTCATATAAAGTAATATAAAGAAATACCTTGTTGATTAAGCTGATTTAAAATTCTATGTTCACTTATTGTGTGGACAACCTTTTGGGGCCTCCTGCAATGTTTCTGAGGCCCTCCCCACACCCCACTTTAGTAACCACTCTTATAGACAGGCGGATTGGTGCAGCGTTTGCAGTAATGTGGTCACTGTATCGGACCGTTGTGGCAAAGAGAGAGCTGAGCCGAAAGGCAAAGCTCTCGATTTACTGCTCAATTTACGTTCCTACCCTCACCTATGGTCATGAGCTTTGGGTAATGACCAAAAGGACAAGATTGTGGATACAAGCAGGCTGAAATGAGTTTCTTTGGCAGGGTGACTGGGTGCTCCCTTAGAGATAGGTTGAGAAACTCGACCACACGGGAGGAGCTTGGAGTAGATTCGCTGCTCGGGCATCTGTTCCATTTATTTAGACTGCTATCCCTGCGACCCGGCCCTGGTAAGTGGAGGAAAATGGATGGATGGACGTTATAAACAATACATGAACTGTGCCTCTGTTACTATTTGTAGACCAGGAATAACTGGCCATTTATTTATTGTGTTTTGTGGTAATTCACTGACCTCCTCATTTACATGACTAACTTGACTTCTTCTTGAGTCAACAGTGACTACTTCACCCAACTCAAGGGGCTGTAAAATTAAGAAAAATAAATCATATTTATATTCAAAACTTTGTTTGTATTGTCACATGTACAATGAATAAATGTTTAATACTCTATAAGTAGGCTTAGGTTTTAAGATCAGGTTCAACTATTTTACTTTAACTTTTCTGGTGGAGGATCCATCATTTGCTCGTCTCCATAGAGATATTATTGGCTAGATTCAAATGTTTCAGCGTATGGCATTAAATTCATGAAGACATGCAGATGACACCATCAGACTCTGGAGTTTTTTGTTTTTTTTTAATGAATGTAATATAGATACGTTTATTGTGGTAAAAATTCAAAGTGAAGCAACATCTCCATAGAGACAAGACATCAGAAAAGTTACATAGTGCTTCTATAAATTCCATATAATCATTTATCAATGACCATTACCTCAAGCCTAGATTACACACACGTCAAAAGCTTTCAAATGTAGGTCTCCTAGATAAGAGTGCATGGATGAAGTAAGACAAAACAGTGAAGTAACTTATCTCTGATTCAATACTATTCAGAAGACGACTGATGACTTATCCCTCTCCAAAAGTCAGGAATAAACAATGCTTTAAGGCAGTGAAATATAAGGCTATCTCAGAAGAAGACGGAGCCATGTTTGAGCTTGTTTTTGTGGAATGCTGCTGTGGGGCTGTCCAGACAAGTCAGCATTTTTGATTCTATATGGAGGTGAAAATTAAAGTCAGAATTTAAAACATGTAAAACATCACTTGAGCGTATGCATCACACAAGACAAAGAGAGGCTGTGATTTTTGCGTATTTATTTGTGCGTACACAGATGTCATAACAGGCCTGGACACACCTCAGTTAAACCCATGTTTGTTCATAGCTCTGTTGCAGCACACAGGAGGTCTGGAAACAGCTCAACTTGTATTGTGTATAAGCAGTAGTAATAACAGAAACACACATTTGCTTATTGTCATGGGCACATTTGAAAGAACAATACTGATGAAGAGTAACTTTAAACAGATTTGTTTACATTCACTGGAAACATCGTTGGTGTTTGTTCTTCCATGCTCTTTGTAAAGTTCTTGGTGACCTATTTGTTTAAATGATTATTATTATGAAAAAATGTGTGTTATAGACAAATTGTTTAAATGATTAGTTGTTATATTATAAATAGTTACAAATAAACCCAGTGAATTTAGGTGTTCTGAAAATGGCAAACATAAAGGTCCCTGTATTTATGTCTTGGTTGCCATCTGGACAATCAAGACATACAAACTGACTTTTCGGCTCTCATACAGAAGCCACTTTGACTTCGATGGGACTGACCTGAAGCACTAGAATTAATCCTACTCTGAGTGCGAGCCAAAACATCTTGAATACAGTGACATTGTCCACATGACCACTGCTGAAACCTTCTCTACATTTAACCACGCCTGGACAAATAAGGGATTGCATAATAAAAGTATAGATTTTATATAACATAATGTTTAATTGGGAAATAATCAAACCTATATACAGTAGAGAACCAGACTCAGCTCAAGTCTGGTTATGTCCTGTAACTTCTCAAAAACGTTTGCATTGATCCCTGTTATTTATGAATTTCTGCAACAGCACATTTGCTTGTCCCAAAATAAAATCTTTAACAATTAAACATGTCTGCAAAGAAAAACATTACAGAGGAATAGGTGGAGGAGGGGGTGGTGGAGGTGGCACTGCACCTGAGGCAGAGGAAAAGGCTGGGGGAGGAGGAGGAGGTAAGGACCCAATATGTGACAGTGGAGGAGGTGGCGGAAGGAGAGAAGAGCTGTCCCCCGACATGGAACCAGGGGGTGGGGGCGGAGGAGGGTAACTGGAGGACGTGGGGCTCATGGCTGGAGGAGGAGGAGGTGGAGGGAGAGTGGAAGGGGAGAACATAGAGGAGGGAGCTGATGGAGGAGGTGGAGGGAGAGTGGAAGGGGAGAACATAGAGGAGGGAGCTGATGGAGGAGGTGGAGAGTGGAAGGGGGAGAACATAGAGGAGGGAGCTGATGGAGGAGGTGGAGGGAGAGTGGAAGGGGAGAGCATAGAGGAGGGGGCTGATGGAGGAGGAGGCGGTGGAGGGAGAGTGGAAGGGGAGAGCATAGAGGAGGGGGCTGATGGAGGAGGAGGCGGTGGAGGAGGAGAGGGGAGGGTGGAGGTCAGTGTGGGCTCAGTTGATGCCATGGACGGAGGAGGAGGAGGGGGCAGAGAGTCACCAGAAGAGCTGTGAGGCAGAGTTGGGACCGAGGGCGGTGGGACGGCAATGCCAAAACTGGTTCTGTAAAAGACAAGACCAAAATATTGTAGTTGTAAACTGAAAAAAATAGTTGGGGGCTCTGTGTACTTACATGTTGGTGGTGTTAGCATTGCTCTTATCGTCTGCTGTCTGGTCTTTCTTTTCCAGCTGTTGCCCTGACACCTGCCGGAGGAAATCATGTGTGAGTGTATTGTGTCTCTTTAAATACGTCTACATCATATAATAGACTTGTGTGTGGACCTGGAAGCAGTGTCCTATGTTGTCCAGAACATTGTATGAAATAGGTGTTCTGGAGTATCTCCTTTCTGGCTCGATGCCTCCTGGAGGGGACGCCATGAGTTTGGCACGGACACAGTTTTTGGATGAAGTGAAGACTCCTATCTCTCTGCGGGCCACCTTCTCCAAGTGGAATGCTGCAGCCTGGACAAGAACATGGTACATCAGATACATGAGATGACAGTTTTAGAGTTTCATGATGCCTCACCAGTGACAGCAGGTTGATGGAGGACTCCATGTGTTTGACCTGAGAGGTCTGAGAGTCCAGCAGTTTGAGCAGGGTGCAGGCCACACTGTTGATCTGATATGTCACACTGGCCAGAGCCTGAGTGGCCAGAGCTTTGGCCTCATCTACAGCCTTTGTCTGGTCCTCTGCCTAAAGGACAGAAGACTGTATTACATGTGGTGGTCTTAGACAGCAGCAGGAAACACACTGTAGGCTACCTGTGAGCATGCCTAGTGTACAAGTAAAATAAAACGTCCTAAAATACATACAAAAATACAAATAAAAAGAATTGAATAAATATTGCATTAACCACTAAACAGATGGAAACAGTTCTTCAGTAAATCTGCAGTTCCGTTTTTATTTCTATTATAATATACAAATACAAGTTCGCCTTGTGTGGCTCACCTGGAGGTAGTTGTTCTCGCAGTACTCCGCCACCTTGAAGAGGTTACTCTGGTTGTCCAGCAGCTCTTTTCTCGCTTTTGGTGCCGATTGTAAAATGTCGTCAATGACCTGCGTAAAGTTGTTCTGCTGCGGTAACTCTCCCATGGCGCAGGTTTCTAAACGTTATGCCGTACGTACTTTTCACACGGACTCTTTCTGTCAGGGGCGCGTCCACGTCCAGGTACAGATTAGGATGAAGGCGGAATTTCCGCAGGCTACAAATTCTCCAGTCAGATGAAGAGCTGATAAAGAGGAGCAAACTCTAGAGAAAATATGTACACATGTTTATCAAACTGGCCTCATAAAATCAAAATAAAATATATTTGTTCATTAAACTAGTAAAATTCCAAATCCTACGAGATAGTGCGCTTTTCTGATATGTAACACTTTTAGGGCCCACTAGAGGGCAGTGTGGTGTTGTAAATGTTCAAAATCAAATCAAACCAGTAATAACAAAAAGTACATTTTTCTTTGTGTAAAATCAAAATGGCAAGTATTTTTTTTTAAATATATTATCAGTCTTAAACCCAACTTAAAACTTTATAAAGCACGTTTCAGCTATTTACTTAGACACTATGCACACTTGCACTTCAAACAGAGAGAGAGGGGAAAAAAAGTTTAAGCGTATTTCAAAATTATCTATACGAAACAACTACAAACACTATGTGCACAGTGGCGACAAAGATAAATCAGTGCAATAATGTGACTGGATGGATATTAAAATTAATAATGAGGTAACCCGTTCAATAATGATCGGCTGCGCGGCTGTGTGGCTCTGTGAGTACTGGAACTGTGTGAGTACTGGGGCTGTGTGAGTACTGGGGCTGTGTGAGTACTGGGGCTGTGTGAGTACTGGAACTGTGTGAGTACTGGGCTGTGTGAGTACTGGGGCTGTGTGAGTACTGGGGCTGTGTGAGTACTGGAACTGTGTGAGTACTGGAGCTGTGTGAGTACTGGGGCTGTGTGAGTACTGGGGCTGTGTGAGTACTGGGGCTGTGTGAGTACTGGGGCTGTGTGAGTACTGGAACTGTGTGAGTACTGGAGCTGTGTGAGTACTGGGGCTGTGGGAGTACTGGGGCTGTATGAGTACTGGGGCTGTGTGAGTACTGGGGCTGTGGGAGTACTGGGGCTGTGTGGGAGCACCATGTGGGGGAGCACGTGTGTGTTGGTCAGTTCGGGATTGAGCTTCTCTGCCTTCCACAGTTCTTTTCGGAGGTGGGTAGCACTCAGTTACATTTATTTATTTTTCATGAAATTTTACTGAACTTTTATTTTTCTGAAAACCTACATTTCTACATGAGCAACACATTTAAAAGACCCATATTACAGTATTTTCTGATGTATGTTATAATGTTGTTTCCTTGTCACAAACATACATAAAGTTGTGTTTTGTTTCATTTACACATGTTAAACACACTTACTGCAACTCATACAGAAAACACTCTGCTCCACCTTGTGATGTGGTAATAAAGCAAGTGTTCCACTGTGTGGAGCACTTGCTGTTAACTTGAAAACTACCACTACATGACATCACAAGGTGGAACAGAGCATTTTGAGCTTTGCAGATGTAGACAGTGTAATAATAAAGGAGTGGTTTGAGGTGGTAATAGCATTATAAAATGTCTTAAAGCTCACAAGAGTCCATTTTGTGTGATAGTATAACAGTTTTGGTTACTATGAGCTCTATGTGACAACATGGGCCTAAATGATTTGCCTGGGATCCAGAACACACATTTCTTTTTCTTTCATACTTTATATGAATCTGTATAGAAAATACAGACACATTCTGGATTTGCCAGGCAATTTGAACATGTGTATTACAATGTTTTCTCATTTTCCTTATATGACCTCCAATCTTTTTGTTTTGTACTTCAGACTAAAATATTCTTAAGTAACAGTTTCCTCAAATAATTGTGTACACTTTCTTAACAATTTACTCATGACCCTGCCCCTCTTTTTATGGTTTTCCTCAGTTGGCCTAATGTAGTCTAATGTACTTTCTGTTACATAACTCCCCATTGTCCCTATTTATACTAACATCAGATAAAGGTGATGGTGCGGACGTGGACAGCTGGAATTCATAATTCCTGGTTAAAAGTGAAATGGCTTCTTAATTACAGCATGCTCTGCCAGAATGCGGCCTTGTTTAGGATGTCCTGTATAAACATAGTACATTCCATAACATCCCTGAGTGCGCTGTGTGCAAAGGGTCACAGTGGCATGATTACAGGGCCTGTATGTCTTTAGACTGTAACAAACACGGAGGTATGGACACTCCTTATGTTTATAGCTCAGTGTTAAGTTTACGCCCTTAGAAAAAACAGCTTTCACTCTTTATGTAAATATGAACTTGATAAGACCTAAACCAAACTGAACCTGGGGCATATAGTGAAGACACATCACATCATACTAGTTTGGGTTTACTGTATATTGGATTTTACTCATAAGTGATTACAGTATATAATTGTTGTTCATACCCAAGGACAAAGATTAAGGCTGGATAATATAGTGATAAAAATCTTTAAAAATCATGAACAAATCCTAAAATTTTGATGAGATTGCCATATTGTGTTTTAGTGCTTAAATGCAGCTTTGTTGATTCAAACTGACACTTTTCCCGACCCACTCCTCCCATTGGTCAACCTCTGCCATGACCTGAGTGAGTGACAGCTGTTTTCAACCAATCGCAGTGAAGTATGAATTGTTTGAAGCAGCTTGTCTGAAGTTGTCTGAAGTAACTTGTCCAGTTGAGGGTCCTTCACCTGCTTGTCTCCTTGGAGATGTGCCTAGAATGTTCCACATTTTACCCCATAAACTTTCCAGACAAATTACAGGTTAGATCTGTGGAGAGGCAACCCTACTCACAGTAAGAATAAATGTTTTTTAAGATATTTTTGAGCAATAAATAATACCTGTGCTTGAATAAATACAAGACAGATAAGTTTAAAGCCATACTATGGGCAATTTAAACCAAAGCAATAACACTGGACGCTCAGTGCACCTTTAATTGAGAATAAAAGAAAATTAGAGCATGAATTGTGATGAAAATTAAATGGTGATCTCATCTAAAAAATCATCTCTCAAATCATATCTTTTTTTTTTTTTTTTTTTACTACAGTTAAGCATTGAGGTGTATGTTCTGTCTCTTAAAAACATTTCCTAGGTGATTGAGTGGCTTGAACATGTAATATCTGTAAACGTGAGGGGCATCCATGTGCTGGGTCTGCCTTAACACTCATAAAAACTAATCAGTTAGTCGATAAGCAGCTTATTTACTTACTCCCTTATCACGTGTATTGATTTTTTGATGTGTGTTCAGCACAAAGTGAGGGCTCCTTCACCTCCGAATACTCCAGATAACTGTCATTTATGCTGACAAAATGATGATTCAGCAATGTCTTTGTTTAACTATCACACGTCTTAATAGACCCATTACAAAGTGCGGAGTCTGCCACCATATAATCTCCAATGGTCTGTGAATTTAGCTTCCTCCCACCTCCCACCAGAAAATTGATTTTGATGACATTAACATTTTACTCAAAGTATGAATGTATGAGGGTCAAAAGTATCGAAAATCAGATACTGATCAATGCTAAAATTAGTATCAAAACTAACCAAGTATTGATACTAAAAAAAGTTTTACTTTTAATCATGGTATTTGAAACAGTATTGAGTGCTGAGTCTATTCCTTAATATTGAAATTAAGTTTGAAAAAAAAACCACAAAAAAAACAAACAGGTTATGATTAGTGTTTAACGAGTTTGAGTTGAAAAAACACAGTAAGGGAGTGGTTGATCGTCAGTGTCCTCTGTTTGTATTTTGACTCATTATTTGAAATCATTGTTTAAACAATCTCTGTGGCAGGATTTGAGATGTTTTTTTTTTCTTTCAAAAGTAATCAAAGCAATTATTCACTAGTTGCTGCACAATGTAATGTATAACCAAAAATATCAGTGGCCTAGTTCCACTCCTGTTAAACTTTTCATAGATGAAATTTAAAACCCATGTTCATTCTTTTAAAAAGTAGGTTGGCCATCGCTATCTACCCCATGAGAACAACACTGTATCAAATGTTTCTGATACGATCTCCTGGCTCACATTCTTATTTTTTGTAAACTTTATACTGGCACTTTTAAAGGTCCTTTATTACACGAAATAGACTCTTGTGAGCTTTAAGCCATGCACTTTCAACAGCTGCCATTTACCTTTCTCTTGGTAAAGACTAGCAATTCCAGGGCAGAAATTATCCAAATGATTCTGCTGACCGTGTATGTAGTTTAAAACACAGTGGAGCACTTGCTGTATTACCACATGACATCACAAGGTGGAACAGAGTGTTTTCTGTTTAAGAGAAGAACTCAGCCTAAATATGCAGGATTTGTGTGTTAAATGAAACAAAACACAACTCTAGGTATATTTGTGATGATTATAACATAGATAACAGAAAATAACCAAATATGGGCGCTTTAATGCAAGATTTCATGATTGTTTACTTAACAACTGCCTGCACTAGAACTCAAATGAGGAGAAAGTCCTTTGGTTATTTTTGCTTCACACAAATGGAATACATTTCAAAGCATATTGTATTTCACAGCATATTTTGTGAAATTTCAATAAACCTTGTAGAAGCTTCATAAAACAAGCACATGTTTTAGATAGACGTAGATATTCCTATAGCACTTGATGTCACTGTTGGAGAAATAATAGTTAGCTTGCATTTTCCAGATATTATGTTTTTATATGATATTATTACTAACAATATTCATCTTGTATTATCCATGTGGACAGTTTTAGAACAGTGTTGCACGCGCATAGTCGCCTCACGCATACTGTCTCAGGCTGTTTCCATGGCGTTGTCCATTGTCCCCAGTTTGAAGATTGGATGTTGCAGGCTATCACTGTCTCTCCACACTTGACAGACTTCCATTAAAGGGAAAGCCAAATTCAATTATAGCTCGGAGCTGTGCAGGAAGAGGCCATCGTCACACACAAACACACTGGGAAGTCTACATGTGACACTTTCAATTGTCTGCGGAAAAGCCAACTTGGAAACAATTGCAAACTCTATTGAACCACCTGCTGCCACTTAATGAACTTTTTATAAGAGCAAGATTGTCTTCTATGTTTTGGAGAAAAGCAAAAAAGGGCCTGTATTACGCTGTTTTCTGATCTATGCTATAATTTAGTTTCCTTATCGTAAACATACCTGGAGTTGTGTTTTGTTTCATTCACATGTTTAAAACACGAACCCTGCATATTTAGATGGAGTTCTTTTTTCATATTATGGAAAACACTCTGTTCCACCTTGTGATGTCATGTGGTAATACAGGAATGCTCCACTTTCCTTTTAAAACTAATACACCTTCAATAGAATCATTTGTGTAATTTCAGCAGTCTTTAGAATCTCTAGAATTATTTTCATAGAATCATAGAATCTTTGGTAGAGATGTAACGATGTCCAAATCTCTCGGTATGATATCACGATATACATCTCTCGGTACGATATGTATTGCTATATTTTGAAGAACCTAATAGAATTGTAGATAAGACACGTTTCTGCTTTTAAAATACCTTGACAAGATTTTAGTGTAAATAATTTCTGTCATAATCCCAAGAATTCAAGTAAAAAACATATCTTTTCATGTTTACACTGAAATGAATCATGGGCTATGTTGTTCCTATAGGGGTGTAACGATGTCCAAGTCTCACGATAAGATATTGTCACGCTATGAACCTCACGGTACGATATTGATTGCGATATCGTGGGAAAGCTCATGATATGGTTGAGAGGCTTTAAAATGCTTTGACCAGTCATTTGGTACAACATTTATTATCATATTCTAGGGATGTAACAATATCCAAATCTCACAGTACGATATTATCACGATATGCATCTCACGGTACGATATTTATTGTGATATTTTGAAGAGGCTAATAATTAAAGATGGGACATTTTTTGCTTGTAAAACACCTTGACAAGATTTTATTGTGAATTATTCCAAGAATTCAAGTAAAAAACATTTCTTCATGTTGTCTACACTGAAATGAATCATGGGATATGTAGTTTACTATGTTTATAAGCTGTTGCTACTATAAAACCATGCATTTAAAGAAAGGAACTTGTGATTTGATATATTGTGACAGCCCACGATATTATGGTGAGACTTTTGACAATATATTTGATATTTCAATATAATCAGTATTTCAGTTATTGTTATATCCCTAATCATTGGTCAATCTCTACTGAACTAAAGGTAAAAGGTAGTGGTTAAGTTAAAATTTCCCACTACATGACATCAAGTGGAAAAAAGCATTCTGAGCTTTGGAGATGTAGACAGACTAAAAGATTACTCAAACGTGTGAATGAAACAGACAATTCCAGGTATATTTTGTATTAGGTAACAGGATTCTAACGTGACTTAATCACAAGAATCAATTTTGCATAATATGGGATCTTTAATACCTTGAAAAACATGCACTCTCTTACTGAGAGCAGGGTCACCTCTCTGTACACATGACCTGTCATTTACATTTCAGGTGCAATAACATCTCCATGGAGACAAGCAGGTAGCGTCTTCCCCACCTCAAAAGTTACGCAATGCACCTCTAACACAACGGTTATCTTCTCAAGGTGGCAGTTCATCAAGATGGTGGGTGAATGCAGAGCAGAAGTTCGCCTCCTGGAGCAGTGAACTCAGCCTGACCTCTCCCCAATCATCTCATTGCAGTAATGACTGGCCCCTAAGGCCGTGGTACTGATTAAACCCGTATAGGACATTAACACAAATTCCGTCCGTCTAAATTTCAGTGGTCATTTACATATTTCACTGCTCGAGTTCAGTCCCCAGCCTCTGACATATTTCATTGCGAACAGTGCTGATCTGCACCAGAGCCTATCTCAGTTACATCTTTATTAGGTCCAGAGGGGAGGTCTTATCAGCGGACCACATTATCATTTATTCTACCATTCAAGCGGCCATTCAAGCGGCTTTTAGATTATAGCACTATTTGACGCAGCCATAAAAGCCATAAATGCTAATCTAGTCTACATGTGAGGTTCTAGTCTATGACTCGAGACCAGAGTAAACAACAGTGTCATAAACACTTTGATAAACACGTTTTGAATATTGAATGCTTTTTATGCAACTCGAAAACCTTGGCATTAAATCTAAGCCGGTTTGACATTTGTAACGTTTATATCTTAAAAGGAATTGAAAGATTTGGTGAGAATTTGTAATAAAAAGGTAACAAGACTGAACCTGTGCACTGGCAGTGTCACAATCATAGTTCTGATTCCAAAGAGTTGATCAATAGAATGTTTCACTTGCATTATATTATAGTAGCTTGTATAGAAAAATAAATAAGATACAGAATGAGACCAGGTTCTAAATGTTATCTGAAACTCAACACCTGCCACTTGGTTTTATGACTCCATTCAGTTCATGTGGTTAGCTCATCAGTCATTATATATATCTATAGAGGATGTCAACACTTTGTATTCTTTTAGTTTGATCACAATCTGTTTAACAATCAATGTAAGCACTAAAACACTGCTATAAAAATGACCCTGTGTTCTGCTTGTAATCCATCATCTGTAAATCTGAAGGCTCATTAAATCACACTTGAGAACTGTTCTGTTAGAGCTTGCACTGATGAGAGAAGCACAAAATATGATTATCTTGCATATGTAATTAATTCATGATATGTTTTGTATTTTCAGCACAGCAGTGTGATAGATTTTTACAGGCAGTGCTGATTTATTGTAAGTTTCTTGGCATGTGATCACACAAACCTCAACTTGATGAGTGGAAACTGCTTCGTCCTCAGTTTCACTTCTAATAAAAAAGTAATGTTATTTCGCAATGTTAAAAAGGCATGAATAAAGACTTCATTCATTATGAACAAATTGTTTATTAAGAGTTATTCAAGCTTAATAACTACTTAAATAAAGGGGGGTTAGGGTTAAAAATTAAGATTAGTGTATTAACCTGAAGGTTGTTGGATCAATTCCTGCTTTGACCCAGTTCTATGGTTACATCCGTAGAACTTTTCTAGTATGAAAATGTGGATGTGTGATAGTGGTGGCAGAGGGACCAATGGCACAGACTGGCAGCTTTGCTACCATCAGTCTACTTCAAGGCAGCTGTGGCTATAATAGTGGTTTACTACCACCAAGTATGGAGTAAATGGATAAGGACTACAGTGTAGCACTTTGAGAGGCTTCAATAAGCCTGATGTGTTTGTCCCTATTCCCCCTAGACCCCCTCCTCTGTCTTTCCTAACCTCTTTCTCTGCTGTCAGTGCACTGAAGGAGGGCAGAGTCCGCACACTCTCTCCCAGAGCTCTGGTGCTGCTACAAGGAGTCCACACTTCACACTGAGCTGCAGAGCGCACTAGTGTGTCATATCTAATCTCTCACTCAAATTTGGATGTGAATGCAAGCACGGGCAGCAGCAGCAGCAGCAGCAGGAGCAGCAGAGTGTGTGAGGGGAGGGGAGGGGGAGGAGGCGAGCAGAGAGGCAGACATGTCCAGTGGTGTGAAGTGCTAAGGCTGTGGGCTGGCTCTAAACAGGCACTTAAAAAGAAGATTGCACTTGGCTTCTGTGCATTTGGGAGGCAGGAGCAGTGAAGAGAAGGGCAACACAGGAGGAGGTGTACTTACTTGACTGGCATTTTCTCTTGATATTTGGCTGGGTCCTGTCATGATGGCCACCAGCGGAGACAGGTCCTTGCGCCCTCTGCTGTTGCTCCTGCCAGTCTTGGGACTCTGTGGAGCTCTGCCTACGGAGTGGTTGCCGGGGAACTATCCAGACACAGTGGCCGGAGTGCTGTCTTTTCTCAGTGACTACAACAGCACGGCCGAGGAAGTGCTTTACTACAGTGTGACGGCATCATGGAACTACAACACCAACCTGACGGCGCACAACTCACAGCTGCAGGTAAGAGCCGGGGGGAGGGGGGAGCGCCTGACCCTCTGTGGCCTGGGGAGGTGCGTCTGCCAGAGGGTTCTGCGGCGCCACGCTCTGCTTGACTTGGATCTCTCTCATCATTCATCCCCCTCCAGAATGACATGCTCAGCTTCAGCACAGGGCAGCCAACTCAGCTTGTGTCTAGAAATACAAAAGAGTTCAAAAAGCCTGGGGTGTAAACTTATGAATGCAGGAGGGCATCAGTTCATAACTGTCTTTCACCTACTATACAGCACTGTGCAAATCACAGGCATGGATAGTTTAAGATCTGCCCAATGTAGGAAAAATATTAAAACAAATTTGAAAAACAAAAGTAACTGCAATGGTAAATAAATTCTCTGTAAAAGTCTTCTACTGCCCATCCATCCATTGAGAGCACTTCTCCTTCACTGTGGGTCTCCCTGAGTTTTTCTGAGAAGAGTCTAAACACAGGGAATGCCCTGGGACAGTTTTGCTTGTTTCCTGTGGATGCTGGATGTTAGGTTTCCAAACTTTTTTCTGTTGGTTAAATCAATAATTTTGTGATATAAAGCTACACAAAAATTCATTGAATTGAAGTGAAAAAAAAATCTGCATTTATCAAAGACATCTTACCCACGCAGATCTCACAGAGTCACAGTATCTCATGCATGAAAAGAAATCCTGTAATTTAATCTGCAGAGGTGTGGATTATTAGTGCCATCCAAGTGAACAGTCTCAACATGCGTTTGTGTTTTCTAATCCGCCCATTGTGTAAACAGCTCGGATACAGTTAGGGAACTTGCCTGGGCTCTTTCTGAATGCGCGTGTGCTTGGACAGCTGTCACAACAGGACGTCATTATTCCACAGGCCAGTCCACACACTTTAAACAGGTGGAGTCATGGCCCCCCGACATGCACTGTTCCGTATGACGGCCTGCACAATGTTGTGAGCCAGAACTGGAATCAAGGAGAACTTGGCTTAGTGTGCTGTTGGATTAAATGTGAATTCATGGAAGGTGTCAAACCCTGTCCAAATGATATGTATATTCACATAGCAGCTGAGCTATACTGTGCATGCAGCTGCCTTGGAGATAACAGTAGGGATCAAACAGAATAGAGATCACATCACGGGCTGCTGATTAGGCTGAATAGAAAATCATGCTTTCACTGTCCTTTGAACCCTAATGCCTCCAGCTCCTTTCAACTCTCCCATCAAACCAGAGTTCACTAAATTGGACAAATGGTAGCACATTGTATAACTGTAAAGACCATAAAAACTATTTATCTTTACAGTCTTGTAAATGTGATTATCTAAGCAGATTGAGAGAAATTATTGAGAGAAATTTAAAGGTCAGAGTTTATGCGTCACTCACTATCACCAGGTTCCATTCAGCTGATTCAGCTGAAGTTGTTTATGTGAAATAAAGGGCAAGAGGAGTTTTAAAGGGAGGTTATGAAGAATTGTCATTTCATATGTTATAAACATGACATATCTATGTCCCCAAACTTGATGTAACCATGTTCAATCAAATGTTGCTGTTAATGATAACAACTGTAATGCTGATTTATTCTTTATTCTAAAAAAAAAAAATCTACATGATCTATGTTTTCATTTTGGTCTTCAATATGATTATCCAATCAGAAAGCAGAATGAGCATCACATGATTCACTCATTTGTGTTATCAGGTGTGAAACCAGAATCCTCACTACCTAAACTCCAGCTATTGCAGCCTCTGCAGCTCAGTGAGTGGATTGTGGCGATTCTGAGCTTTCATATAAGGCATGGCCTGTCCATAAACTGAGAATGACAAAGATGTTCATGTGCAATGAAAGACAACAAGAACTGTGCCTTAAACTGTCTTAACAGGGGGTTAAAACAATGCAGTGCCTGTTTTGACCTGTTTTAAATAATGATGTCAGGATGAGCTGGTGAACTGGCTTTACATAACACTAGTGTGTACCTGAAGGGCTTTAAGGTTCCGTTTGTTTTGAAAGACATAAGCTGATGATTAAGAGGACTTCATGTGAGAATAAACATATTTCAGTTTGAACAGAGTTCTACCAAGGCCATGGCCTTCTTTCTTTATCATGTGATTATCTTCGACCTGCCACAGAGCTGTATTTTTCTGCTTAGGAGAGAAATGTGTTAAGTATTATCCTTGAGCATGAGCTACGACCTGTCCTTTTGCAACTCACAAGATATTGATCCCTGTGAAATGTTGGCACAGTGGAGGGGAACTTATCAAATCACAAATGGAAACATGATGTAGTATTTACAGAGTATGAGGCTGGAATAACAAGAGAATACTGTTACAAAGATGTGGACGAAGAGAAATAAGCATTTGTCACATAGATATATAAATATACAATGTTGAGAAGCAGCAGAGGAGTGTGTTGTGTCAAACCTTAAACATGATGCATGTTCATTCCATGCCAAGATGAGCAGAGAGAGAGAGCACACAAACAGAATGATTTTATGTAATGCACATTTACATAATGGCCACAAACAGCAGACATACACAGACATTAAAGTCCTCTATTACACAAAACAGATTCTTATGAGATTTAAACAATGTTATAATGCTGTTATCTCATCAGAAACATACCGGAGTTATGCTTTGTTTCATTTATGCATACGTTTGAGTAATCCTTTATTATTAGTCTGTCTATGTCTCCAAGGTCAAAATCCTTTAGTCCACCTTGTGATGTCATGAAGCAGTTTCAAGTTAACAGCTACCTTTTACCTTTTGTTCAGTAGAGACTGGCAATTCTAGGGCTGAATTGAACAAAATTATTCTAATGAAGGTGTATGGGGTTTTAAAACACAGTGGAGCACTTCCTGTATTGCCACATGACATCACATGGTGGAACATGGAGAGCTTTCTGTTTGAGAGAAGAAGTCAAGAAAGAACAAAAGCAGGGTTTGTGTGTTAAACATAAGTGAAAGAAACAAAACACAACAAGGTATGCTTTTGTTGAGGGAACAACATTATAACATAAATCAGAAAATAGAGTAATATGGGCCCTTTAACAACAGATAAAGCTCACAGCTCATGTTTTGTTTTTGCGTTTCTTCAGGTCCAGGCCTCCATGGATGAGCAGGCCTTTAGTGAAGCCTGGGGTCACAAAGCCAAAACCACATTTTCTGCTGCAGTGCTGAATTCTCTTCCCAAACAAGACAAAAAATTATATGACAAGATCGTTGTCCTGGGACCTGCCAACCTGCCCACCGCCGAAAGAGAGGAGTACAACACCATCCTCAGCACCATGGACAACATTTACTCCACAGCCAAAGTCCACCCACAAGAAAATGTTAGCTGGAGTCTGGAGCCAGGTGGGTTAAACATGTTTTGAGTAAAGAACTGCAAATTACACAATGCAAATGCGCTACAGATGGTGAATTATTTCGTAAAGCCACAATAAAATTATGAAAAAAAAAAAGCAAAAAGCAAGAGAAAACAGTTGCTTGATGTTATCACTTCTGAGAAAATGGACAGGATGGGCTAAACGACTTGAGAGAGCCTTGAAGAGGAAGTCTTATGCATGTGCCCTCGAGTATGGAGCGAGGAGCCCTGATTTAAGTTACGGTTTACACTCCAAGATGTGCTGAGAACAATGGCTATACGCTTTGTCAGCATTTCACCAGCTGTCAACACTAGCCTCAAACTCTGGCTGTTTAAATGAAATGATCCATTGTTTCTAAAGTGCTATGAAGTTGTTGTGCCTGTATCCATTATGTTCAGTCCAGGGTGGAACAGGGTTAGTGGAAGAATGTGGAAAAACTTAACAGCCAATGTCCACCTCTGCTCACCTTCATTTCCTATTCCTGGATGAGGAGAGTGCTAACTTATCCAAACATTTACGTGCCTAAAATAGTAACAGAACCCTTTAGTTCTCACAATTTTGGAAAAAAAAATATTGTAATTTTTAGTATTACAATTGTGTTTAGATTTGAGCTATATGTTTAAAAAATAGGATTCAGCTCATTGTTAATAACTCCAGATGCATTTGAGAGAAGATTGAAATACGATGTGATAACTAATACAAGAATCTCACACATTTTAGAGCATGTTTATAAAGGTCTAAACTAAACTAAAGAAGTTTGCTATGAAAAGACAGAATATTTTGTTCTTTGCAGAGGACAGTCTGTGATGTAATGCTCTAAAAAAAAACTGCATTTGCGTTTTGGTAATTGTGCCAACTGAAATAGCAATTTTGATTTGATATGACCAAGGATCTAGTTCTGTTTTTACTCATCAATGTATTTTGTACAATGCAGAACTGACAGAAATCATGGCCAATTCTAGAAGCTACAAAAAGCTCCTCTTTGCCTGGGAGGGCTGGCACAACGCGTCCGGGGTTCCCCTCAAAAATTACTACCCAAGATTTGTGGAACTCAGCAATAAAGGCTCTGTAGCTGATGGTAAAGATTGATAGATGGAATGTAATAATTATTGTACAGTTTTAACAACAGAGTAACATCATCTATTGTTGTTCTAACCAGGTTTTAAAGACACCGGAGCGTACTGGAGGTCTTGGTATGAAAGCCCAACCTTTCAAGAGGATTTGAGGAGTCTTTACCAAACAGTGGAACCCCTCTACCTGCATCTTCATGCATTTGTGCGTCGCCAGTTGTACAACCAGTATGGCCCCAAATATATCAACCTCAAAGGGCCCATTCCAGCTCACCTCCTCGGTATAAAAACATCGCTTTTTTATGTGTTGGTGACAAAGTAGTTTTAACCTATTTTTGATTCCCTGTAGGAAACATGTGGTCTCAGACGTGGAACAACATCTATGGGATGATGATACCTTTTCCAAACAAACCTAACCTAGATGTGACAGCTGAAATGGAGAGACAAGTAAGAACTGTTCAAAGTAGTAATTCGGTCAAATGCTAAAAAACACAGTGTTCACGTAAATGATGTGTTTTGTACAGGGCTACAATGCCACACACATGTTCAGAGTAGCAGAGGAGTTCTTCACCTCTCTGGGCCTGGAACCAATGCCACAGGAGTTCTGGGATGAGTCCATGTTGGTGAAGCCTGAAGGTCGTGAGGTGGTGTGCCACGCTTCAGCCTGGGACTTCTACAACCGGAAAGACTTCAGGTGCACAACTGGAAAACAGTTATATTGATATTGAGAGCATCAAAGTTAGAATGGAACTACTTTATAAAGTATAAAGTTGTCAATAATGAACATGCATACAAACATATGATGCCTGATATCATAATATCATTAGTACTTGTTTGTCTCCATGGACAGACTTGAGTTTAATGCCATATTGTGAAACTTTCCGGACAAAGCAATCATATTTTCATTTACGTAAGCAGTTAGCAGAAACTCCACCCAAAGAGAGCAGCTTTAACTTTGGTAATGCTCTACATATCTTGGTAGCCTGAAATGTTAGCCTACCAACAATCACAAATGTCAATTCACATTTTAGAATATTAGCAAGGTACAGTTATATTTGCCCATATACTTTTTGATTCGTGTTCAGCTCAATAATAAAGCTAGCTGTAAAAATTAAATTATAGCATAGTGGACTAAGTAACTGGGATGAGTGTGAATGTGACTGTTACCCTGGCCGTGTTTACCTGCGCAGGATCAAGCAGTGCACCACAGTGACCATGGAGCAGTTGTTCACTGTGCACCATGAGATGGGACACGTGCAGTACTACCTGCAGTACAAGGACCTACCTGTAGGGTTCAGGCGTGGAGCTAACCCGGGCTTCCATGAGGCCATTGGAGATGTGCTGTCTCTATCTGTGTCCACCCCAAAACACCTGCACACCATCGGCCTGCTGGGCTCCAGTGCATCTGACACAGGTAATGAACTCACTGTGGCCTGTAGAGTCATTTGAAAAGCCAGTATACACATGGATAAGATAGTTTACATCACTGGATTTTTTGATTGTTTTCTAAAGAAAACACAAAAAAGAAAAACACACATAACACTATCTTTAAATAATCTTTGCACATCACTCAAAACTGGGTCAGTGAGTAGGGGTTTTGTCTACTACAGTAACACTACTGCTCTTGTCTAAGTTAACTACTACTGCTGCAAATAGACCTACCAGAATCTGCTGTTGATAAAAAAAAAAAAACACTCAAAAACACTGAACACTCAGTTGTTGTGGTCAGCTACCATTATTAATGTAGGCCTATTGATTTACACAATGTTTAATTCTTCTAGAAACCGACATTAACTATTTGTTGAAGATGGCTTTGGAGAAAATAGCTTTCCTTCCCTTTGGATACCTCATTGACCAGTGGAGATGGAACGTTTTCAGTGGAGATACAGCAGCAGATCGTTACAACTATGACTGGTGGTACCTCAGGTGGGCTTATTTTTATTTTATTAATTTATTAATTTGAACTATATTCTGGTTAGATATTATATTTCAGTATCCATATATTTTTCCACCTGGTGTGACTTATCCCTCATAAGTTTGTGGTCAAACTGGCCACCAGTCAGACTTATGAGTGTTTATGTCCCACGATGTCTGGGAAAGGCATAACAGATGTGCCCAGCTGATCCATAAAAGTTACATAAAACATAAAACGGGAAAAGCTTTAGTCATAACATGAGCTATTTTCCATGACTTACTGCATTCAAAAACTATGCCAGCCAACCACCATATTCTTAACCCATGTGTTTTGGATTTCATTTTGTAGAACTAAATACCAAGGCATCTGCCCACCCACCAGACGCACAGAGGAGCACTTTGATGCAGGCGCAAAATACCACGTCCCCGGAAACACACCATACATCAGGTAGAGTCCCACCATAATGAATTACATAAGTCCTATACCGGCGTTCTAGTGCAGGCATGGAGATTTAGAGCTGTGGTTTTTATGGGACTTTAGTGAAAAATAGTGGTCATTTGTGAGCTCAAGTATTGTGCTTGCTGTAATCTGGAGTGAATAACTGGCACTCAGATGTAGCTGAACAATACAGACATCGTAATCCTTCAAGAGCAGGAAACTCAGACGAGAAAAGCCTTTGATCCCATTCACATTGATTCACAGTGCAAGAATGGCAGTCTGCATTATGCCTGATGATACATGATTCTACTTATTGACATTCTTGCTCTCCCCCTAGGTATTTTGTCAGCTTCATTTTGCAGTTCCAATTCCATGAAAAACTTTGTGAAGCCGCTAAACACACTGGACCACTGCACACATGTGACATCTACCGCTCAAAGGAAGCTGGAGCCATTTTGAAGTAAGGCATTCAAAATAAAATACAAATTAGTGTATCATAACTGATCATTATTTCTCATTGTTATAGGAAGGTTCTTGAGGCGGGATCTTCCCAGGCTTGGGAGGAGGTTCTTCTGAATGCGTTAGGGACTAGTAAGATGGATTCTTCATCACTCATCAGATACTTTCAGCCCATCCTTACCTGGCTGGAGGAGCAGAATAAAGGCGAGATTCTAGGCTGGCCCGACTTCGACTGGACTCCCCCTGTTCCCGAGGGATACCCAGAAGATATTGGTAACACCAGCAAAAGTCAATTTTTTTTAATCAATTAGAAAAGAAAAAAGGAGCAAGTTATCGAATCAGAAAGATGTAGTTATCGTCCCTTTATTCTAGTTATGTTCCTGTTTTAAGCATTTTTGGTGAAACAGAAGTAGTATTAATTTTAAAAAAATCAAAACATTGTGATTATTATTTAGTATTTTAGTGTTTAGGTATTTAGGTATTTAGTAAAGACTGTATTATATAAGTAATTGTCATTTTATATGTTTCTCATTGTAAACCACAATATTGATCTTAAAACAGTAGAAACAGATCCAGTGACCTCCAAATCAAAAGGGAAAATGGATCTGTAGGCATTTGACTGTAACAAGCTGAAGATTTTATTTTCATGTATGTATATTTAAAAAGTTTAAAATCTTACATTTATCATATAGTGTCCTAATTTTTGACATTAGGATGTAAGTGAAAACAGGAAGCCATGAATGCAGGCCATGACAAAATTCAGAAACTGAATAAAAAATATTAATTGTTATTTTTGCTAGTGGAGTTTCTGTGTCTGCGTCATTTTTGGATCTTTGAGTACATATGTTTATCTCTGTAATCTCTGTTGACAGACAAGGAAACGGATGAGGCCAAGGCAAAGATGCTATTGGACGAATACAACACCACTGCAGAAGTTGTGTGGAACGCTTACACCGAAGCTTCTTGGGCTTACAACACTGACATCAATGAGGCCAACAAGCAGGCCATGGTGAGACCGTCTAACTGACCAGACATCATCTTTTACTAATACCATTCAATCACTTGATTCTAAAATAACAAGTATGAATGACTAACACTGTGATCAGTTTGCACAATGACACTAAATCAACAATAAATAAATAATAAAATAAATAAACCAATCTGTTTTACTTTTCTGTCTCTGTTTTTGTAATGCATGCCGCTCTCTTCATCATCATCAACTCATGTGACATACAAAAGTAGAAGGTTTTAAGTGTGCATTATTCTCCTGTAGCTCCAAAAGAACCTGGAGATGTCCGCCCACACGCTAGAGTACGGGAAGAAGGCGCGTCAGTTTGACACCACGGACTTCCAGGACGCGCAGGTCAAACGTATCATCAAGAAACTCAGTGACATCGAAAGAGCTGCGTTGTCTTCTGGAGAGCTGGAGGAGGTGCGCAAGGCAAAAGACATGACTCGTAATCATGGTCCTTCAGTAAATGAATCATAAGCTAGAGAGTGTATACAGTGGAAATGAACATCCTACTCATAATAATTTGTCACCTACTAAAAAATGTCAATTTTGATAAAAATTTAAACAACTCTGCTATTCATAGGTTTCAGATTACCATTATTCGCAATGGTACCATTTAAAAGATATAGTTAAGTTTTCAATGGTTAATCATTTTTATATTCTGAAACTAAACAAATCCTTCCTGATTTGAAGTAGTTTTTAAAGACCAGGTAAGGACCTGTTCCCATTCAAAAAACATAATATATGGATTCGGATTTCGTAAAAAAAAGTTCTTAAAATTTACAATAAACAAAAATATCTATTGATACTTTTTTAGTACATGTATTTCCTATAATGTATGCCCTTCTAGTACCCAAAGGTGAAACTGGCATAAAATATATTTAATTAAATCTGAAACAACAACAACAACAAAATCTTTATTCAGATTTCAGCAGCAATTAAAATAGAGCCAGGAAATATTTGTATATGTATGATTAATCAGTATAATTGGTTAATAAGGTTTGAAAACGAGGACCTGAAGGTATTTATACTACAAACATGTTTTGCTGTGTGAAGTTCTAATTTGAGGTCCATATTTTCTCTAGTACAACAATCTGCTGTCCAACATGGAGACCAAGTACAGTGTGGCAGAGGTGTGCAGAGCCAATAATACCTGCCATCCTTTGGACCCAGGTAACGTCACAAGCTCTAAGAGAGGAAGTGGCTCTGAAAACTGCTCCAGTATGGCTGACCGCACTGTGTTATAGATCTTCAGAAGATCATGGCCGAGTCCAGGGACTACGATGAGCTGCTGTTTGCTTGGAAAGGATGGAGAGATGCTGCAGGCAAAGTCCTCCGTCAGGATTACAAGAGATATGTGGAGCTGGCCAACAAGGCTGCCACACTCAATGGTGTGATTTATGAAATATTTAGGAATTTCATTGTTGGTGGAGTGAATGAAGCTGTGTAAATATTTCAGCACTTTTCAATTTTTCACTGCATATTATTAGAAACTTTTCTCTTTAAAATGATTGAGTAACTGCTAGAAATATTCCCATTAGCCGTAACTAATACTAATTATTGCCACTAGAAAATTAAAGGGTCCTATCTCTCTGGAGAATTTTCCACAATATGTCCTTAAATCTTTCTATCTCTATGGAGACAAGCAGGTGACATTAGCCTAATTCATCAGACGGTTTCACTTTGTGGAAACCGTCTGACCTTGCAGCATTAGAATTTGTTCATACTTTTTCATTTAACCAATCGCTGCCATTTGGTTGTGCCGCTAACGCCAACGGGGCTAACTGGACTAACTGGTATATTAAGCTTTTGCCAAATCTCGTAGGAGGAAGGGCAATAAACGTCCCCATACATTCTCTTTGTTCTGCCTTTGAATCCTCGATATTGGAATCACGAGTTTTGTTTCATTCACACATGTTTAACACACAAACCCTGCAAATTTAGGCTTAGGAGTTCTTCTCTCAAACAGAAAACACCCCACCTTGTGATGTCATGTGGCAATACAGGAAGTGTATTGTGTTTTTAAATTATACATTTTCGCTAGAATCATTTGGATAATTTCAGCTCTAGAATTGCCAATCTCTACCAAACAAAAGGTAAAATGTAGCTGACTTGACTGAGTCATGACACCACAAGTTGGAACAGAGCTTTGGAGATGTAGACAGACCAATGATAGATCGTTGCATGTGCGAATAAAACAAAACACAACTCGCTGGATGTTTTCAAGGAGGCAGCAACATCATAACATAACCAAAAGCTCACAAGTCAATTTTGCGTAATACAGGAAACTTTTGTGAGTTTTGAGACTTTACAATATTCCAGTGAAAAACAGATTAAATCGCTTCATTTTTCTCCTTTCGTTCACATAAACAGTTGTATCCACCCTTTTCTATCACACTGTATAGACTGGATGTAGAAAATGTTGCTAATATCAGTGTTTTCCTGGTGCCACATTCAGGTCACAGTGATAACGGGGCATTCTGGCGCTCTCTCTATGAAACTCCCACTTTTGAGCAAGACCTGGAGGCGCTGTGGAAAGAGCTGGAGCCACTCTATCACAACGTGCACGCCTATGTCCGCCGCGCACTCTACAAGAAGTACGGAGCAGAGCACATCAACCTCAAAGGGCCCATCCCCGCTCACTTACTGGGTAACACAGATCACCATTTTAAAAGTATAGGTTACGTTCACATGGCATCATAACATTTTTAACAATCCCTATAGACTGAAAGTGAGCTGGAAAATGACAGATTTGTTGACCTGGTTTCTGCATCTATCCACATGAATCAAAAAATAATAATTTCTCAGCATAAACAGACCAAAGTTAAATCATTTATGAGATTATGACATAAGTTTGTGGAGTCAATCCTTAACACATATTGAGCTGAGGTTCAAAGTTTATGGATTTTTACTTTATACATTTCTTACAAAATGTATAAAGCTTCAATAGAGATGTATAGGCTCCTCAATATTAAATTATAGCAATTCTATATACACACAAATTGTTACGGAATTTCAACCATTCTGTCATTGTTTATGTATGCACAAGCCCAAGTCTCCAGGTGGATTTAATCAGGATTTGAGTTGCGTCAGGCGTGAGATTTTCTATGACAGTTCTCCAGCATTAGGGATTGGGCACACTCACATTCATAAATCTGACATTCTTTCAACTACGCACTCTTTCCTCTGCTCTGAAAACCAAAATTTGACTGAGGTTTTGTTTGCTTTTAGGGAACATGTGGGCGCAGACGTGGTCGGGGATAATGGACCTGGTTATGCCCTACCCAGACGCCACACAAGTTGACGCCACTCCGGCCATGGTGGCTCAGGTAAGGAGAGGTTACATAAGGAGACAGACTTGAATACATAACAGCTTATTCATTCACCTTACGAGGCTCACGAGGGTCAGATGAGTTCAAGTTTGAGTTTATAATACAATAAAGTTCTATAAACACTTGTGAGTTATACATTGACCTTAGCAAAATGCATAGGAGTTTTTTTTTTTTTTCTTTTGCAGAAATGGGATGCTCATAGAATGTTTAAGGAATCAGAAAACTTCTTCACCTCTCTGGGCCTGATGGAGATGCCACCAGAGTTCTGGGACAAGTCAATGCTGGAGAAACCCTCCGATCGCAAAGTGGTGTGCCACGCATCAGCATGGGACTTCTACAACAGAAAGGACTTCAGGTACAAATTCTTTTATATTGTTTAATCTATACTCTTGCCAAGAATTTAAGTTATATATGTAAAAAGAGAAAGAAATATAAATCACCGTATTCAGTAGTCAAGTTCAAAGAGGCTTTTAAACGTGGCAGTGAGACTGAAACCTCTCCCATTCAGTTTGTCTTTCTGTGAGAACCATTGTAACAACAGCTTACAACACTTATTTAAATGTACGCTTATCTAATTCAGTGATTCCCAAACTGTGGTATGGGTATGACCGGTCTTTGAGGGTATGCAAGGATAGATTTGGATAAAAAAATTTCTACTGAACAAGTTACATTTTAGGCAGGTGTCTTCTCAGATGTTACTTAAATACACACAGGGTGGGAAAAATATGAAATGAAAAAAAGGGCATATTTCTAATTTGTCTTTCCTATATTTCTTTGTGTATTTCCATGTAGAATCAAACAGTGCACAGTGATCACCATGGACGACCTGATCACAGTGCATCACGAGATGGGACATGTGCAATACTTTCTGCAGTACAAGGACCAGCCGGTGTCCTTCCGGGATGGAGCTAACCCCGGGTTCCACGAGGCCATCGGGGATGTCTTGGCTCTGTCTGTGTCCACTCCCAAACATCTACAGAGCATTGGTCTGCTGGACAAAGTGGAAAGCAACTCTGGTCAGCAGCTTTACTGTTTGTTCAATGTAGAAAAAAGCTGAAGTAATATGTGAAGTCTAAAGCTAATGTTCTGTTTTGTTTCTAACCAGAGAGTGACATTAACTTCCTGATGAGCATGGCCCTTGATAAGATTGCCTTCCTGCCTTTTGGTTACCTTATGGACCAGTGGAGATGGAAAGTATTTGATGGGCGCATCCCACCCACAGAGTACAACAAAGAGTGGTGGAACCTCAGGTAAAGGCCTCTGTCAGTCAAAAGGCTTGTGTTTATTTAGGTTATCTGTATGTTTGGATCATTTGTGAGAATAGATTTCTTCATACTGGCAAAGGGAAACTATTTAACAGCTCAGATAATGCCTTCATCAGTAACAGTTGTGGTAAGAAGAGCTGCACAATGCAAGATTGTGAAGTGCAATAAGTACTGCAATACCCAGATTATTGCAAAATATACTGAAACTAAAATAAGCATGCCTACATTTTACATGACCAAGACTTAAACACAACCAAGATAAAAACAAGGCTAATTTAGGAAACTAATAACTCTTTATTGTGTCAATAATCAATAATATGTAGAACTAGTATTAATAGTAGAAAGTTGTCTGTAGAATCTGTGTTGATCACAGTAGAGGTAGTATTAATGTAGCAGTTGTGCATGTAAAAAAAAAAGTAAGTTGTGTTAGTTGTGCAATTATTTTTATTAGGTGGTACGGTGGGAAAGTGGTTAGCGCTCTCTCCTTACAGAAGGTTCTGGGCTCCATTCTGAGCCAGTGCAGGGCTTTTCTGTGTGGAGTTTGCATATTCTCCCTGTGCAGGTTGCCTCCAGGTGCTCTGGTTTCCCCTAACACTAAAAGCATGTACAACAGGGTCCCCTGTGGGGCCAGGACTCCCCTGAAGAGTTTCTTAATCTCAGTGGAACTATCCTGCATAATGAAGGTCAATAAAATTTAAAAAATCATCTTTTTCTTCAAAAGGCCCCTTTTAACCACTGAAATACATAGAGGTTATCACATAAAGGTATCTTGTGTAAATGATATTTTGCTGAGTAAGGGTTTCAAACATGTCTGTAAAGTTTATCAGTTTGACAACAAGACTGTAAAATAATTAACGATGACACCATTGTATGTCCCCAGAATGAAGTACCAGGGTCTGTGTCCACCTGTCGCCCGGACCGAGGAAGATTTTGACCCGGGTGCAAAGTTCCACATCCCAGCAAACGTGCCATATGTCAGGTAGGCACATGTACCACTTATCACCAGCACTGATTACTGTCCCCTATATCTGCAAGGGTGAATCAGTGAGTCAATGAGAGGGCAAAAACATAATGTAGTCTTTGTATGCATCTGTCACCAGGTATTTTGTCAGCTTCGTGATCCAGTTTCAGTTCCACAAAGCTCTGTGTAATGCCGCCAAACACACTGGTCCCCTTCATACATGTGATATTTACCAATCTAAAGAGGCTGGGAAGCTTATGGGGTGAGTACACTGACCAGTATATCATTATAGGATATGTGTGGGTCTATACCACTTTTCATTTTGTGTCATAAAACAAATCCCTCTCTTCACTCACCACCTCCAGTGACGTAATGAAGCTAGGATTCAGTAAACCCTGGCCTGAAGCTATGGCCATGATCACCGGTCAGCCCAAAATGAGCGCCCTGCCGCTCATGGAGTATTTCCAACCACTCATCACTTGGTTGGAGGAGGAGAATGCCAAGAATGGAGATGTTCTTGGATGGCCCGAGTACGACTGGAAACCCTACGTGGTGTCAAGTGAGTTTGTCTGAGTTTGTACAGATGAAGTTGTGCTGTGTTGTGGCTTATAGTGAAACTGATCTCACCTCTCCTGTTCTGCTGATGAGACTCTGCTGAAAGCTTGTATACAGATTAGATTGATGAGGTTCTTAGAAACAGGAAGAAGCAAGAGCTGAGGCTGCGTCAGGGCAAACAGGGTTCTTTGAGAAATTAAACATGAATCTAAACTGGACAGAAATGGAGTGCACTGTGACCACAGACGAGTACACTGCACATCTGCAGCATGTGTGTTTTAAAGATAGAATACTAGTAGTGCACTGCAGATACTCATGAACAAGAATCTGCACAAATTATTTATACTGTTCTGTTCTGTGAACGACTGAAGTAAAGACTGGGATGACAGCTGTGTACTAGTTAGTGGCCATCAGCTTGTCTCCATGGGGATGTTATTACTTTACCAAGAATGTTCCAGAGTGTGGGATTACATTTATCAATCTCACGCACAGTAAGAATGCATGCATTGCAATAAAACTGAATGTAAGGTAATATTTTAATGTTGTACATTCCTGATATCTCCATGGGGACAGTCAGGTGGTATCTCCTCCAACAGAAAAGTTGCACCTTTACAGTACAATATTTACAATAGGCACATTTTACATTTTAGAGAACTTTGATTGTCAAAATGGAAGAAACAAACTTAATACATTTAACTATGATATGATATAGTTATTATGTGTGATGATTTTTTTTGCTGTGATTAACTCCCTTCATTACACAAAAAGTAGATAACCAAATTGTGCCCCCTTATGGACAAATCGTAACATGAGATGATTCAGTTGTGTTGTGATTCAGTTGTGTTGAGTAACAGGCATCTCTCACTCTCCCACAGAACAAGAAAAGAGTAAAGTGGACTTCCTCGGCATGAATCTGGACAGCTCTTCAGCAGTTGCCGGACAGTGGATTCTGCTTGTCGCTGGTCTGGTCCTCCTTGTGGCCACAATCCTTTTAGCGTATAAATACAGGAAGTCAAAGAAACCTGAGAAGTCCATATCCACTCTGGAGCTCAAGTCCACATCGTAGTTCTGAGGGTCCAGCAGCCACAAGAACCACCTCAATGTGAATATTGTCAGTGTTTGCCTCACCCACACTAGTGTGTATATCTGATCACATTTGCTTTGAGTCTGCCTCTAGTGTTGTATATTTATTGTGTATCCAGTCAGATTATTTTGCCTATGCAATGAACATTACAATTTTGTAATTTATTTGTAATATTTGAATGTTTAGCAAGGAAATGCGTGAAATGAATGTTTGTAAAGTCCTTAATTGTGAACATTTTTTAAAGATGTTTTTGTTCAATTGTTTGCATTTCTACAATAAAAACACTGTTTATTTTTGTTGACTTTTCATCATGTCTGTCTCAGTATATGCAGTGAATATTTTATTAATTTGAAGATGCTCTTTCTAGCAGAATTCTCAGTTCAGCTGATTAAATGTTGCTCTGGAAAGTGACTCATCAGTAGAAAAGGCACACCAGAGTTAACCACATTTTCTTATAGAAGTTAGTGTTGTAAATTCTCTTTAATATGACAGTTGAGTCATATTAAAATGAAAACTGCTAACCACTCTGCCACTCTGAAAAATTGGTTTGAAATAAATCACAGCTATTTTTTTACAAAGAGTTTAATTCCACTGAGTGTGCACAGTAAAAAACACCACTAGTCTTTACAATGGCCAGTCACATTCCCTTTTTATGTTAATGGCGCCAGTCCCACAACGGAATTACGCTGAAAAGCAACACTCGTTCCATGTTCAGTGATTTTCAGTGCTGTAGGCTGACCTCAATGGGGGCCACGTTGCCTTGGAAACGGTCCAAGTATCACCTTTTTCCCATAGAAAAACTAAAAGCGACATGATGACGGAACATATAAGACAACATATGCATTTGTGAAATCAGTACCATTATTTACATTTGACAGTCATAAAATCTACAAACTGAAATGCATTACCACAATCTTAGTTCAATATTATTCAATCCAGTGTCACGACTCCCTGTATGTGAAATCTTAAGGCTCTGTTGAAACAAGTCACAAATAAATAGTAAAAAATGTACTTTAAGATAAGGGTCAAATGAAGCAAAATCCACAGATAAAGACATGTGCCTGTATGTCTGGTCTATGATGGTGGCACAACAAACCCCAAAATCTCTGTGCCATATTCCTACTGCATTTGCTGGTTCAGGAGTCCCACAGTGCCAACAACCACTGACCTCAAAATGATGAACTTTCAGTGTACAATTATTCACTTGATTATAGGAAAAGGCAGCCACTACGTCTGGAAACACATTCAAATCTCCAACAAGAAAATTACAAAATGTACAATTTGTGTGGTCCAAATATACAACACTGCATTTAGTAAAAAAAATACTAACAAATTTCAGTCTCTTATACACACATTCAGTATATTGCACTGACAAGTTCAATGTCAATGTTGGTCCATTTCAGTCTCTGTGGTTCACTTGTCATTATAATGTCTTTTGATGGCTTCTGTGGCCATAGCTTAGCATTCGAGCGAGTGTCCTCCAAGCCCAGGCCTCAGTAGTAATATCTCTGCATCTCGGTCCAGCTGGTGATCCAGTACTTCCTGGGTGGCTCTTCCGGCTGATATCCCAGATTGAGTTGATAGCGTTCGGCCTGGCGTATTTTCACCCCTCGGTGCTTTGGCATTATGCGGTAGTACACTGCTCGCTTGAAGAAACCGAGCTGATGAGAGAGAGGACACAGACGATGGTGACATTTCAGATGATGGAGAGAGGGGATGCTGTGTTCAGGCAAATAGAGAGAAGCATTTTGGATTGGGAAGAGTGAAGAAATCATGTTAACAAACCCACAGTGAGCAGAGCGGACAAGATAGGCAGGGGTTAGATGCATGGAAATGATTGGATGATTAAAGGTGAGAAAGGTTTATTCAAAGGCAATTGGGAGGTCAGTGAATGGACAAGGTGGGCTATATAATTTTCCTACCCATAAAATTTAGAGCTGACTCAAGATTTGTTTTCTGGCTGTGCACTGCGTAACGTTTCTGGCACAGCACCCAGCACCTACTTGTCTCTGGAGAGATGTTACTGCCTTGATTGGAGTGTCCCACTGTATGGCACTGAAAATAACTATGTAGCATTATTTTCATTGCAGGTGTTTTAGTGCTCTGTAAGTGGAAATGCCTCTCCACAGATCTAACCTGCAATTTGACCTGATGGCACCACCTGCTAGTCATTGAGATAGTTTAGTTTAAATGCTGGGTTTCAGATGACACAACATTCTAGTCCAATAATATTTTATACGGATGAGTTCAGTTGAAATGAATGTAGTTCAATTTCAATTTTTTTTTACAGTTTTCATGGTAAAGTACAATGTAATCAATATGGAAAACTCCAGTAGGATCTTGCTGTCTATCTGGAAGTATGTCATCATCACATAGCCATAAAATCTCCATGAAGACAAGTAGTTACAGACACTCCACCAGAAAAGATACAAATTGCACCTTTTTTGCCAAAACTCTAAACGATGACGATTTAACTTAAGCATTTAGCCCACCTACACAACATCCTTCCCAGACACTCATAGAGAACCACACCCAGAAGGCAGAGTCTATAGTGAGGGCAGCTTTACCCAGTTGCCCTGGTATGTGCCCCCCACCACAGGAGGGGTCAGTAGTCCTCCGTCAGTCTCTCTGTCTCTGAGGGCTGGATCTTCATCTCAGCCTTCTGCGCCTTGGCCTCGTACATCTCTCTGCGACTGGCCCGCTGGAAGAAGCCGCACTGGTGGAGGGCGGGGGGTTCATAAGTCAATGAATACATGATGAATGTGTATGAATGATATATGGTGCTATATGTAGGACTAATGAAGATGCTATAGTATGTTGCCTATAAGAAACAATGACTTCACAGACATGTATAGGACACAGTGGTGCTGAAATATTATGTGCCTTACCTTCCAGAGTATAAGTATAATAATTCCTAATAGGACAATCCCAGCCACTGCAGCTGATATGATGATCCACAGAGGAAGTTCGTATTGTGTCTCCACGTCCTCCAGAGGGTCTATCTGCACTCGGAACTAAACAAGGATGAAAGGGGCCAGTCAAATACTCATATACATGTCAATGATCATAATAAAATACTTTTTCACATACTTCAGTGCTCTGAGTGTCCATCTTGATGGTTGGTTTATCAGTTATTAGCTTCAAGAAGGCATGTCCTCTGACCTCCACTCTCAGAGCATTGTGATAGTCCTGAAAGAACAGTAAAAACACACCATTTGTTTAGTCTTCTGTTGAGATGCAACGCTTGAAAGAAGAGAGTGAATAATGTATGGAGACCCATTTTGGACCCCTGAAAAAGAACACTGCATTGTCAAATAATGTAATTGTGCACATTTATATTGTGTAGTTCTATTTGTAACAGTATATATATATGTGTGTGTGTGTGTGTGTGTGTGTGTGTTATTTTATTTATATATTATATCTTTTATGATATATGTTTATTTATACTTTTTATTTTATGCAATGCTACAGATTATATTTGTTGTATGTAATGATTATTTGGCACCCACAATAATAAATAAAGTAAAAAATAAAAAAAGAAAGAAAGAAAATGCTGTTGCTAGTCAGATTACCATAACAATACCATTATGTGTCATCACTCTGCACTGACCTCCAACATTGTGCTGTTCCAGAGGCGTGACCGCACATAGATCTTGGCTGAGTTTGACATGTTGCTCAGTGGACAGGTGAAGGTCCAACACCGAGCCGTCCCTTTAGCGCAGTCCTTTAACAAATCAAACACATGGACACTCAGATGACAAAGTACAAGGACAGTGATAAGACAGTGGGGTGTGGTCTTGTGGCGCTGTGGCCCTTACCAGCAGGAAGCTCTCCTTCTTGGGGCCATGCAGGGTGATTGCTGCCTGTGGTTCAATAATGACGGGCTGATTGTCCTCATCATCCACCACCACCTGACGCTTGGTGCGCTTTTTTGGGCTTTCTGACAACTGCCAGACAACAAGGCAAAAGCGGGAAGAGCACAGACAGTGGAGGAGACGTTACATCAGAGAGCTGCTCGGTAATTACTAGTTGTGATAAAGACATTACCAAATCTGGGCCAGAATAGCATTTCCATTGTCTATTCTTGTATGTCGGCATTAACATGGGCTATTCAGGGCTCTGTGGTGTTTAGATGTGGGGAGCACAAATGTATTCTGTGGTTTGGCAGTGGGTCTTATTCACACCAACATTTCACTGTGGACTTTTATTCGTAAGTTCAAGTTTATTTTTGAAACTCATCTAAACCAACATGCAGAGTTTATGTTTTATTTATACTGCTCTCGATAAATATAGTTATGTAAAAAAAACTAAACTAAACCAAAAACAGGATGGTTGGTGGTGAACACTGGGCCACAGCAACCCGTCTGTAAACAGAAAAGTACAAACAATAACAAAAGCTAACTGCAGTTGAGAAAATGTACTATAAAAAATGTGAATATGGGGCATCTTAGGATTGAAAAATTTATAGTAAAAAATAACTTGTTTTCCCAAGCAATAAACAACAAATATTTAACTAATCAAGATCAAAATGACACAAAAAATGACACAAAAATAGAAATTGGTCTGTGCACTCAAAATAAAGAAAAATTATATTAGATTAAGAAGCTATTACTGTACATATAACACAATACACTATTAAAACTTTTTCTATTTTTGAATACTGACCACAATACATTGTTAAAATTTCAAAACCTCTATTTATTTTCTATTCTGTACTATGTGGGAGTCTGGCTGTGTGTGCATGCTTACAGTGAGGTTGAGCGGGTTGACGATGTCTCCGGGCGGGGTGCACTCTGTCTCAGAGTCGGTTGCCACGGTGATCTTGGTCAGGTACAGGAGCCACTTGCCGTTGGTGACCTCAGCTGGCCACTCAAACTCCACTGCCAGCGTAGCCAGGTCTCCCAAAGGCTGTCCTCCAATGTTCACCTACAAATAATATAAAAATGCTGTTACATAAATACAGAAATCAAGTCAATTGATACTCTGCAGTGACCTCCTGCTGGGGGTGTTCCGCCTGTATGTTTACTTGGAATGTTCAGACGTTACCATGGTGAGAAAATGCACACATTAGCAAACACTGTCAAAAAAGTTGTAAGATTGTCCGAAAACTCAGGACAAAAAACAAAATGGACTCATTTTCAGGAGCACATGATTAATACAAGAGTTCATGATCCTGTTCAATGTGATTTTCAACAAAAAGGTGAATGTGACTAACTGACGGTAATGTTATTCGAGTTTAACAGTTTGTTAAACAGCACAAAATTTGTTCACTTGTTGTAGTTCCAACTAACTCAGTGCTTTCTGGTCAGATGTGCTGATGTGTTAAAACAAAGCTCCGATTAAAGACGAATTTGAGTAACAAAGCTTCAGACAAAGCAGAGCCTACAGTTAGCATCACACACCCAGGGAATGTTGATGACATCAGCTGCAAAGTAACAATAATATCAAGGAGTATGAAAATTTATAAAAACTATGTAAGTTAAGTTGTGTATAATTATAATTAGATATTGCCTGGAATATTCCACATATGACATCTAACTTTATTATTTCTATGGAGATAAGAAGAGATAAGAAACTGCCACTAGGCCAAGTTACGGGTCAAGTCTGTGGAGAGGTGATCACAGCCAGAAGGCATATTTTTCAAGCAATTAAAACACCTGTAAATTAATAAATTCATACTTGATAAGTCTAATGTCATCAAGTTGAACAATGGACATTGCACCTTTAATGTCACTGTTGTTTGTGTTTGTTATCAGAATAAATAAACAAATGATTAAATAATACCCTGAAAATAGCATAAAGAAACTGTAAAAAGATTTTTTTTTTAAAAAAGCATCCACTCAGTCACATGCCACCAAAACCAAGGCTCGTTTCCCCCTACGCAGTATTAAAGTTGCGACGCGTGGAGACATGAAAGCCTGGGCGTGGATGTATTGTGAATGCAGTCTTAATATAGATGAGCTGAGGTGACTCACATTGAAGGTGAACTCCACCAGGCTGCCCACGTCACTGCTGTTGACCATGGCAGACTCGCCCTTCACCGTACCACTGAACTGAGTCTGCACCACAGGGTTGACTCTAAAGGGAGATTGGGAAATAGAATGTATATAGTGGATATAGTTGTTTTGAGTATTTCAGAGGTATGGACTTACATTGAGAATGAAGGGCGGATGGTGTTTTCAATCAGGAGGCCAATGGGAACAGGAAACAGGTCATTCTGCTCACTGACACTGGAAAGAAAGAGAAAGTACTGCATTATCTTGACATACCATAGACAGATGTTTGAAACTTGAGCACACACAAAGGCATGACCACTGATTCTTAATATTATTACTGATTATTAATTGCTACAAATCTGTCTTCTGACACTTCTTAAAGTTCCTATATTATGCAAAATTCACTCGTGAGCTTTAAGCCATGTTATAATATTGTTACCTCATCAAAAACATACTCAGAATTGTTGTTGCTTTATTTCATTCACATGTGTTTGAGTAACCTTTTATTATTAGTCTGCCAAAGCTCAAAATGCTCTGTTCCTTCTTGTGATGTCATGAAGCAGTAGTTTTCAAGTTAACAGATACTTTTTACCTTTTGTTTACTAGAGACTGGCAATTCCATGGCTGAAATTATTCAAATGATTCCAATAAAGGTGTATGGAGTTTCAAAACACAGTGGAGCACTTTATTACCACATGACATCACACGGTGGAAGAGAGTGTTTTCCGTTTGAGACAAGAACTCAGTCTAAATATGCAGGATTTGTGTGTTAAACATGTGTGAATGATAAAAAAATACAACTCCAGTTATGTTTGTGATAAGGAAACAACATTATAACATAGATGATAAAATAGTGTAATATGGGTACTTTACATAATGCACCAGCACAGTTATATGTTTATAGAGAAATGGGGCTCTCAGTGTCTACAGTTATTGCTATAAATACTTTTTTTGTTGTTAACTTTCCATAAGGAGGTCATTGTGTTGTACAGAAGGTGAATGAATTCATTGCCATTTCAAATAACACAGTGTGGGCCAAATCAAAGAGCCACTACAGACTTCAGGCTCTGATTTTTATTTCAGAATACACAGATGAGTGCAGTTTGTTGAACTGAAGGCTAATCGCTATTATGTTATGACTGACTGGTGTTTCACTTTTCAGGTTTGGGGTGAGTGAAGGTAAAGAAAAGTTTCAAGCTGTGTAAGTTTGAGGAATAATAAAACGAGAGGTACATGTAAGTGTGCAGAAAGTACATAGAAAAAAGACTGAAAGATCTTGTCATAATATTAAAATAAAATATAATGACATTTGAAAAACTCACGTTGAAAGAAGCAGCTGGGAAATAATTTCGTGTGTGTACAGATCAATCCCAGATGTCTCAAATATGAGCATCAGTGATACCTGGTGACACAAAATTTGAAAAATGAGCCTGCTATTCATGTTAAAACTATTTTATCACTATTAACTAAATCCTACCTTGTGATTGCCTTTGAGTGGATTGCCAAGTTCACACATGAGAGTTTCTTCCAGACTGCATTCAACACTGTGATCCTATACACAGTTGAGAAAATGAAAAACAACTATTAGTCCAGTCATGGCCATTAGTGATAAGAAGTAGTTTGTGTTGCCTTCTGCTGCCCCCTGGTGGACTCTCACCTCAGATCGGACCCCAGAGTACCTCAGAGCCTCTGGGATGGTCACATTCAGCTCGGCCTGGTGAGCGTCTTCTGCCACTTTACCACCAGAGGGCACATTGGTCACCTCCACCAACAGCCAGATGTACCTGATGTCACTGCTGTACTGGAACACCTGGAAGTCTCCCTGTCTGTAAATATATTTGTAAACCTTGGTTGGAACAGGTTATAGGTGCTTTATGTTGATATATATTAAAAAAATAATAAAAATTGAAATAGAATCACATGATCGAATCACAGGGTCCTGTCAAGCGAGAATATTGAAACTACTTTATGACACAATAAAAAGTAAAGCAGCATTATCCCTCCTGGAAGTTACTTTTTCATGCCTTTACTTTCATAACAAATACTAGAAGCTTCCCCACCACTGCAACAAAAAAATGCACACAATAAATATTGAACCCCAAAATATATATCATTCTAGCAAACACTGAATCATAATCAACATTTCTCATGATATCTCACAGTTTATTAAGACCAAAAGCATTTTAATACCACAATTTCTGTGTTAAAACCACTTTGCCAACTGCTCAAAGTTAATATGAAATACACCATTTTAATCATCAAAACAGTGGGTAAGTCAAGTCTCTTGCATAAACAACTTGCAGCACTGCCACTTAATCATTTAAAATATATAAAAATAATACTTTCAATAAAAATTTGCACAAAATTACAGTTAATCTAATGACAGGGTTAGATTACCTGGGGTAGGGGGTCTCCTTGTCATCCACATACTGAGCTGTCAGCTGCAGGTTACTGGAGCATGTGTTGTCTGCGCCACACTCTTTCAGAAAGTTAATCTACAACAAAAAAATTAAGTATAATTCGATGTATTGTCTCTAAAGGACCTACATTATGTACATTTTGAATCTATGATATAATGTTGTACCTCCGTTCTCTGTGTGAGTTTCTGCTCCTGGCTGAATATTGGGTATGCATCCAAGTTCTGTAAGGAACGCCTTACTTTTGGCTTTTGCTCACTTATGGAAACGTTCAGAGAGAAGACCACTGGCTCAAGTTTGTCTCGTAGTGGAGCCTGTTAAAAACGTAATTGTCATTTGCCTTTCATTTATGAAAATAAATAAAGATATTACATCAAGTATTATAATAAAATGGATCTAAACTCTATATCTACACTTTACACTTTTTACACTAAAGTGTATATGTGGTGTTTGACTCTGTTTTAGTAATTTTTAGTGCAAAAAACAAGGTTTGTGGTCAAAAATGGGCATGTTCTAGCTCCAGTGGGACTGCAGTTTCAGGTACTTGGTGACAACCCACAGATCTGCCCTGCTTGCAACCAGTTATTTCTGATACAAACACCTAGAATTTGAAGTATGGATACGTGTTAGACCAATCACATTGTTCCTCCCCCTCACTCTCTTCTTTAGTCCTTCATTGCCTAGTTTAACAGCTCTATTTAAAAACTGTTTTGTCCCACTGTAAGTATAAGTATCTTACCACCACAGAGAGCTTCAAAGTTTGACATTGTGTTTGTGAAGCAGTTAAAGCTAGGACGCCAGTGTAGGTGTCTAAATTATTGTCCTGGAACAGCACACGGGCGCTCTTCCTTGTGTCCATGTCCGCTTCAATCATGTAATTCACATCTGCAGAAAACAAGCAAAAATAGTTAGTACCAATATTACAGTGTATGGTTTCATCTCACATGCTTTTTACTTACTGATAGTTCTCTTGAAGTTTTTGTTACCGTTGCTCAGTGTAAAAGACATGCAGACAGTGGCGGTAATGCTGTAAAATTCAGAAATATTATTTTAGAGTCAGTAAAAAGTTACATTTGTTTTTGTCATTTCCTTTTAACAAAGAAATGACCAGACTACTTACCATGGTTGGTTTAAACACTGATTAGGGTCAACAATTTTTGGCTCCACTGTTACGTCTTTTGTTAAATGGATAACAGGTCTTGATCTAGAAAAAGAAAAACAAAGCTTTAGCATTTAATGAAAAAAAAAAAAAAAAATCACAATGTTGAAGCAAAATTGTTATTGTATTGTTATTATCTTACTGTACCTTAATAAAGCAATGTGGTCATCAAGAGAACCCACTAAAATATCTGGATAACTGTTCTCATCCATGTCCATGCCCCCGCTGATGGAGTAACCAAACGTTGTAAAGCCAGTTCCAATGGATTTACCTTCAATCACCTGCAGGGGGAGACAAAGACTAATGATTTATCACAAACTAAATAGGCCTTTCACATACATTTTGAAGTGCATATATTGCTGAATATAGCTGATAACCCATAATATTAAAACCAAACCAGATTTATTCATGAAAAAGTACATTAAAAAGTACAAAACTGTTACAGAGGAGGTATTTTAATTCTACGGGATATTAACTACTAACACATAACATATTTAGATCACCACATTACCTTTTTGCATAACACCTCATCTAAAATAAATAGAAGAATGCAACACTTAAAGGTGCATTGTGTAACTCATTGCTTATTGCTTTGTCTGGAATGTTTAACGGAATGGTATAAAACCTTTCTGTCTTCATGGAGACCAAACCAGACCAAGTTACAAGTCAGATCTGTGGAGAGGCAACCCCATTCACAGTCAGAATGCCTGTTTTTGAGCTATAAAACCACCTGTAATTGAATACATGTAAGATAGAGCTGATTAATGTCATACTGCAGAACATTTCAGACAGAGCAATGACATATTCATAGAAACGGTGACGGACCCCCAACCAAAAAGTTACACAATGCACCTATAAGTAATTTATGTAATTTTAGTTCATAATTCAACCTTCTATTGCTCAAATCTTATCATATTGCAAAGAAAAATGACACACGATCAATATTGTCCCCAAAAATGATTCCATTCCATTTATGGAGGACAAGTTGATATAGTAGTAAGTATAAGTATAGTATAAGTATCGCGACAGACCTCATTCACTCTTGTTTGCCATCATATTACCTGACTGGGTTTCTCTGAGATCCCCTGTTTACTCCCAGTCCAGATGTACAACTGGCCTGTCGCATGGAATGGCGCACCCACAGCAAAATCTATTCAGAAAAGAATTATTACTGATCAGATGTGAATTCAATACAATGGACACTGCTAGTTCTGTACATGTGTCACCTGCTTGTAGAATCACGTTCACTACTTTATCATTGTGTGAATCACCACAGTTACTAACAATGCAGTCACTTTATCTGCTGTTGCACATTTTATTTAGTTTTTCTTTTTGATTATGAACAAAAATATAATGTTGTTTCCTCATCAAAACATAGCTGGAGTTTTTTCGTTTCACTCACACATTTTTAATACACAAACCCTGCATATTTAGGCCGAGTCCTTCTGTTCCATATTGTGATGTCATGTGGTAATACAGGAAGTGCTCCACTGTGTTTTTAAACTTCATACACATGCACTAGAATCATTTGGAAAATTTCAGACCTGGGATTGTCAATTTCTACTGAACTAAAGGTAAAAGGTAGCTGTTAATTTGAAGTCTGCCACTACAAGATCATCACAATGTGGAACATTTTGAGCTCTGGAGATGTGGACAGACTAATGATAAAGGATTACTCAAAGTATGAATGAAGCGAAACACAACTCCGGGGATGTTTTTGATGAAGAAACAAGATTATAACATGGCTTAAAGCTCACACGTTACTTTAGTTCTCCTGCTCTTCATGTACTTTGCGTTGCAACACTGAGATATCCCCAATTGTGTGAGAATAAAAGGTTCTTGTTCTTATCAATACTACATTTGCCCTCTAGATGGCAGCACTATCAAGGTATTGATTACTACTGCACTGTACTTGTAGTCTGTTGTTAAGTTAAATACTGAAGAAGAGTGACAGCATTACAATATTAAAAGTTAATGGGAAATGACATAGTTTAATTCCTTTTACACATTTGTTGATTGTTTTCGTTATGTAGAGTACGCATACTTAAATGGAACTTTTTGCATCAGTAATACCTTGAAAGCCATCTTGATTTATGTCCCCAATAGCAGCCAGGGCAAAGCCAAACCCAGAGGCGGCAGGACCAGTCAGGACCAGGGTGGGGGTCTTCTGGAAAGAGCCGTTCTCGTTCATATAGATGTACACGGCTCCACCTCGCTCCTTCATCCGGTCAAAGTAAAAGGGGGCACCCACTATCAGGTCGTTCCAGCTGGAAAAATGTACAAGCAACATTAGTCCAGGCATTTCACTCACAGCAAGATAAAAACTCATGATGAAAAGATTATCTGAGTTGGTAAGAGAGGAGTGGTTTCTATCATTCATCACCGCATTCTCCTCACAAGATTACAGTAACGGAGCATCCAAGCATTAAGTAGTTTTATTCCACTGATAAAATCCAAGGACACTGATTTCACAAGAATCACAACATCAATATATAGACTAGGCTTGTCATAATATATACTATATTTACTTATTGTTCAATATGATGATGGAACAGTATTTTTGGGGGTAAATATTTATCATGTGTACATTTTCTTTATACTACTTTTTTAAAAGTTGCTGTACCCATTTTTTTTTAATGTATTACGTCTTGCCACGGTGCTTATGTACTGTCTGTATCTAATTATAAAGCTTTTTTTATTGTCTGTGAACCAGGAAGTAAGGCTGATGCACTGTTAGCATGCTAGTTGTTGTTACCATTATCCAAGCAGCAAAACCCTGCTCTGGCCTCTGAAAGTTATACATCATTCGCTTTGAGTAACTCGGATGTTAGGAATGTGTTATAAAAATAAATCTGAATGGCTGCTATGAAGTAGTTTTCACTATAAAAAAACACTACTACGTTACTGAAAAACTACTGCGCAACTTCTGTTACATAACTGTTGAAGGCTATTTATTTGGTAAATTGTATGAAGTCTGTCTTACACTGGAATGTATTTTTTCTCTCTTCTCATTATTAACTGACATGAAAGAACAAAACACACTAGCTTTACATTTTTAGTGGTTAAAACTTACTCATCATTGTTGAGGTCAGTCACTGCAAGACTGTTCCCAAAGTAAGAGCCAATTTGTTCCCCAGGGATGACCAGAACTATCTCTGTGGAAGTGTCCAACTTCTTTATAAACAGAACCGAACCCCTGGACTCGTCCCTGGGAGCCCCTGACACCACTGTGTAGTCGTCAAGAGTCAGCAGCTTTTTCTCCTCTAGCACTGAATAACCTGAATGAAGAAAGTTCAACGTTAGTTAAATGTTAATTGTTACAGCTCCAGGGTTTTAGAAAGAGCTCGAGAAAATAGTTACCAATATAGCTTTGTCTGTATCGTAGCAACTGTCCAAGTTTTTTGTCTGCGGTGTCCCAGTGCATAGATTCGCTAGGATTTGTCCATCTTATGTGAACATCTCCTACGTAAAAACACAATAATAAAACTGTTGGTGACAGTTGTATTGATGAACAGGGAATATTGTGTTGTATTAGTGATTGTTTATACTATTATACCAGTATCAGACTGAATTCACATATTAAGTACAAAACTTTAATTCAATTTTGATTTCTACTTTTGGGGGTCTCATAGCTGCAATAAATTCATTTGGCCAAATACATTTGGCCAATCAGAAAAATGTTTACATCCAAAAACAAAAAAACAAAAAAACACTAACCTCTCTAGTCATCTTTTTGATCTAGGCTGTTTTGTATTTCCTTGAAAATCTTAGCAATTACACGATGAGGCTAAAGTTTTGTTAATGCTTCTGATGACTCATTATTCTACAGTAAAAATAAGTCCTAGTGCAATGACTTACAGGCCAATTTGTGCATGGCTTGCTTAATAACAGAAATAGGACCGGGACGAACAATAGAAATATAACACTGAGTATTATTTTTTGTTATGTAATGTATTTTTAACTGTATCCAATTTTAAACTTTTGTATATTGAAAAAACCTTACCTTGCCACGTATAGCTTCCAGTTGCTCCGAGATATACTTCCGTGTCAGTCATGCCCCCTGAGATGCCCATATTGCACATGCCCTCCATCTGAAAGTCCCTGTTGGGGTCGCACATCTCGTAGCTGCGATACTGCCAGTCGTCTGAATTGTCATAGGTCAGGTCGTTCCCTCTGACGAAGCATTTGCCAATCATGCGCCACTGCTCCTCTGTGCCACCGGGAATGATCTTCACGTAACGGTGACCGCATGCCTGAAAAACAAGGAAAATAAAGAAAAACAGGGCAACAGTGAATAATATGCATTTGGGGAAAAAAAAAAAAAAAGAGTATTTGAATGTTTTCGTCATCCTACCAGTATGCGGCTGGGCTGTTGATCCCGTTGTGTTGCCACAGTCACTCCTAGCCACATTCCCTCCACCATTTCTAAAGAAGGGTCAGCTGGAACGATTCAAATGATAAAATATTTGTCAGTGATTCAATAATATGGGTTATCAACGACAAATGGACATGGTGATACATACATGCTGTTACTTGAAATGATTTATGTAGTCTACCCAATGAAACCAGATTATAATCCAGATTAGGGGAGAAGAGTATCCCAGTGTGAGCCCTGTGACTAAATCTGGGCAGGCACGGCACTATTTACATCTAAAGACGAACGGTGCTTTCAGTGTTTCTCTGGGTTCTTTTTTTCTTGAATTGAATCTTGAGTCAACTTTTAATATTTGATCTGCTAACTCTGGTTGTATGAAAGTCAAATATTCAAATCCGCTGCTTACTTGAGGTGAGGAGGTCCATGGGGATGCAGTCATTGATGTCTGTGGTGATGGGGCAGGAGTACACTGCTCCAGTTTCGTTCACATTGGGGAGGGATGGGGCCTTCTCTTTCGGAGCTCCAGCCAGAAGTCTGGGCAGAAAGCAGATATGACATGATATGTTTGCAAGACAAAACAAGAGTCTATAGAGATAAAGCCTCAAGAAAAGAAACTGTGGTGTTGTTTGTGCAGCAGCAGACTTGTCTAATGGGATCGAGCATCGAATCGAACATGTACCAGCTCCTAGAACCAAAATGTACTTTAAACCTAGGTATATATCCATGGGTTTCAGATTGATGAAAATTTGGATTGTTGCCTTGGTAAATAACAACTTAAATCTACATATTGTTTCTGTTGAATAGGGAAAAGTTCCCAGCCAACCAAAACAATGGCCAACAAATCTCTTAGTTTCTACCTAACATTACACATTAAACCAATGACTACATCTATGGTTGATACATACAAACATTAGTCAGCAACCTTAACTGTTTATCTTGGCTACTGATTTAGCTGCTACTGATTTAGTCATCAGTTATTACAGTCAGTTATTATTACCATTACATTAGAGGTGCTTTTGTTGATTAAACTATTTAAGCTCTTTTCTTATCTATGTTATAATGTTGTTTCCTCATCACAAACATACCTAGAGTTGTGTTTTATTTCATTCACACATGTTAGACACACAAACCCTGCATATTTAGGCTGTGTTCTTCTCTCAAACAGAAAACTCATGTTATGTGGTAATACAGGAAATCCTCCACTGTGTTTTAAAACTCCATACACCTTCACTAGAATCCTTTGGAAAATTACCTCTCTCTACTGAACAAAAGGTAAAAGGAGCTGTTGCATTTTGAGCATTGTAGATGTAGACAGGCTGGTAATAAAGGTTTACTCAAACATGAATGAAACGTGAATGAAATATACACAAAGCCAGGTATGTTTTTGATGAGGTAACAACATTATAATGGTAAAAAGCTCACAAGAATAAATTTTAACACTGAAGAAGATAAACATAGTAAGAAATGTGTGGTCAGATCTGGACCTGTGACAAGTCTGGACTACACAGACTAAGTGACAGAGCAGAGCTGGTGATGGAGCAGCCCTTTTGCCCACTCAGGCGTCCTCCTCACATCAGCAGCTCCCACAGTCACACTTTGAAGAGGAGGATTAGACCCCTTGGCCACAGCGTTGCACCGGGACACTGTTTACTGTCAGCACAAGATTTATTAGCTCCACTTTGTAGGAGGAAGGTGCAGACAGGCGTGTTTACAGTGCGCGCCACCCGTGCACGTCAGTATTGTGCAATGAAACAAAAGCCCTGGTGGGATGGTCAGAGAAAGGGAGGGAGAAAGAATGGTAAAACGTCTGTGGAAGCGTTCAAATGCAGGATGATGGTTGACATTTTGGGAAAGTGAAGAGAGAGGAGTTAAGAAATTAGTCATCTTGTGGGCAGCTACCTTTAAGCACTGATAAGTAAGAGCAAATACTTCATAGGTGTGGATATGACCAGGCACAACTGTGGTCAAATCAAACATGAGTCATCACATTGTTCAGACAGAAGTCATTCACACAGGAAGGTCAAATTTGTGACTAAGGTTTTGTATTAGCATGTTTTCATTCATTCATAAATTAAACTTGGACAACTGCTAAGTAGGGCTGGGTGATACGTAAAGAATTATTAATCATGATTTTCTCGTTGAATTTCATGAACATAAACATATCATCATAAACTAAGAAATTATCCTCCAAAGTCTGAACTCTGCTCCAAATCACATGCTCTTACTGAGACAGAGGATTACAATACGATTAAAAAGATCCAAGCATATAATTGACAAAAAAAGGGTTGTCTCGAACTAGATTTTTAAAAAGCTACACTTGCTACACTTCTTTCCATTCATTCCCAGTTTAATTCACACAATCTCCTCATACCAAATGTCTACACAGCAGACAATCCAAGACAATCTAATCAAAATATCTCAGGAGGAGGACTTTGATGTCTCCCCAAACCCATAGGTCCCAGCTATGATCTGTTCAAGTCATGTGATTAGTTTCCTGTGGGCTTTATCAGGTTACCTTGTTAGTATGAGACACGCTGGTCTCAAACTGACCCTTCACTCCACCCTATGTCTGCATCATTTACATTTCTCAAGTGAAATGATCTCTTCTTTCCTCTGCCAAAGACATTATCAGCACTGGGGCAATTAGCTGACAGACTGATGACAAGTGAGAGGAGCCAACATGGCTGCCCAGAGGCTGCAGTTTCCACTTGACTGGGTTGAAGAGGTGAGGAATCAGTGATAAGGTAATAGCATATTTATATGGACATATTCTTGATATAGTATACAATCCAATGCAGCATTATAAGTAGTAGGCCTAGTAGTAGTAATTAGTAGTAGTAATTAGTAGTAGTATAGTAGTTAGTAGTATTAGTAGTGTTACTAGTTAAAGGTAAGTAGAAAGGTCACAGTGCTGGTGTGTGGTGTTTGATGTCTTATTTTAGAGCCTATTTGAGTTTGCTGATGTTTGGACCTAGTTTATGTCAAGCTGACAGAGACGTAGGGAAAATCAGATACTAATCAGTGTAAAAACTACATTTGAGCAGGTACTGATACAAAAAAGTCAGATTCACAGGACAGAAATGAACCTTTCCTGAATAGCTTTAGAATGATCTTGAGCTGTATCAGAACAAGTACAAGAGCACACAGACTAGCACACGCCCATGGATCGCTATGGAACCTACCTGGACCACTGATGGATTACACAAATATAAGACCACATGGCAATATAAAATAAAGTACTATTACTTAATGTTGAAAATGAATTTGAAAATGTGTTTTTAGTTATCATCATGGCATCAGAATAGAAACTAGAATCAAGTCTATTTCAAAATCAAGTTCAAATGTTAGTATCATGACAATACTACAGAAAAAACACTGAACTTTCTGCCCATTTTTGTTTCATGTCAATAAACTCAGTAATTCCAAAGATATTTTTCCTAAGCATTCATACCATGTTCTATAGAGTATTCAAAACAGTCTTGTGTATGTGTGCAGTAGACTTGTAGTACTGCTGTCAGCTCTGTGCGGTAGTAAACACTGGCCTGATCTGTGTGTCTCTGTGACCCACGTGTATCTCACTGTTTGTTGTGGAAATGTTCTTTTGCTGATAGATGGCATTAGTACTGACAAATAGCAATGACACGGGCCAATGTGAGCAGCACTCTGGTATTTTATTATTGCAAAACCAGGTGCTGGAAATTTGAAATGAAAGCCATAACGTAGCATTTCATAATGGCCTCAGTTAGCTACTAGGAGATTACAAGCAGACCACTATTTGTCTTTTGATTATACCAGCTGCAGATTTAAAGTAGCAAAAAATGTTGAACAAGAATAAAACATGCAACAATGGTAGTCTTCAGACTTCCACAATTTTACAACTCATGTTCTCATCAAGTAGGTCTCGTAGTTCTTCCCACAATGTGCTTAAGTAGACATATTTTATTCTTTATTCTTATTCCATGGGCATGTTATTGCGTTGGCTGGAATGCTCCATAATCTGACATCTGTGCTGTAAGTGGGCTTGCCTCTCCACAGATCTGACCTGTAACTTTAATTCTGGTGGAGTCTCCTTCTTGTGTCCATGAAGATAGACAAGTTTAATGCCATATTGTAGATCATTCCAGGTAAAGCAGTAACATCAGGAAGACAAGCAGATGGCACTGAGCCCCTTTAAATTAAACTTCATTCAGAATGGATCATCGAAATTACCAGCAGTCTATGCATCACTGTCTGCCAATGTATGTCTTGGTATTCACAGGTTAAAAGCAGAGCAGTCAACAGTGGTGAGGTCTGTTGTCCCAGGACCCAGGATCTTTGGAACCTCAGAATTGGAACCTCTGCCAATTAATTAATATTAGAGAGGGGCCATGTGAGGCTTCTTGCCCTGGGCCCCTGAATTTCTGTATTATACACAATAAGGCCCAAGGGTGTTTCAAATTATCAGGACAAAACTGTGCTCATAAGCCCAAACAAATGACATGACCCACTATCTAAATACTCTGAAAGCTATTTAATTTGAAATATACCCAAAAGCATTCAAATATGCCAAGAATGCTCCACATATGTTCTACACAGATTGACTCAGCACTGACAACGCAGTTCATATCCTGTCCCATTCCCACAACCACTGTCCCATGTCCTCTGCCTCTGTGTCCTCATCACCTCCTCATAACCACTCCACAGAGACAACAGAGGAGAGGACAGAGATGGGAGACTGCTGCATTCCTGCTCTCGGGACATGTTGAAATTTGCCCCCTCTGGCCCTTTGACTGATCTCAGAGTGACAGGAGAGTGCACTGTAAGGAAATGGAAAATAGGCCGCTGTAAAGTTATAATAGTAGGATAGGCTAAACAAACTAGAGTCATGAGGCTGTGTTACTTGTTACTCTGACAGGGGAGTTGGAAGTGAAAGATCCATACACACGTACATTTGGCCCGCTAATACTTGGAGTTCAAAATTACACACACTCTTTTGTTTAAAAAGAGAGTTTATTATTGTGGTTTCAAAGTTGGTATGAAGTATGGAGCCTATTCATTATTTTGTATAAAAATAGATGTCTGTGTGTTCCCTCAGTCATCCAGTTAGGAAAACTGAATAGAAATGAATTTTCTTTTGCTATCGAAATAGAATTTGAAATGTTAGTATAAAATGTTGAAAAGTTAAAAGGTCAGCATGGGGCCTTTCTGTGCTGAGTTTGCTAATCTCGAGCAATTCTTCAGTAAAGCAAAAGCGACAATAATAGCTCAGGATTTGTAGTTAGGTCAGTCACGATGGTTGTCCACTGCTCCTAGAACTAGAGAACTCATCAATTTGATTTGTAGCCCCAGTTGAGTTTTCTTTGAATTTTGTTTTATTTGAAGACAGCTAAAAACAATATCTAGGTAAGTTAAAATGATTTAAATTAAGAACATTTGACTTTATTTGAGTAGATTCAACTTGACAAGTACAATTATCTACCAATGAGTGTTTTCTTACTTGAAACAACATTAAATTTAGTTTCTTATTTTAAGAGTTGTTCTTTTTTCTTATTTTA